TTGTCTTGTATTTAAAAATCTTGTCTTGTCTTGTCTTGTATTTAAAAATAAATATCTTGTCCGAAGGCAAGATAAGTTTTTGAGAAATCTTCTAATTCCCTCTTCCCATAGGACTTTATCGACATACATATATCTCATTTTGAACAATTTAGATTTAACTTTTTTAAATTTTATCATTTTGATAAAGTAAAATTAATTTTAATTGAAATAAAATTTAATGATTCAATAAGTGAAAGGTAATGAAGAGTACACTTTCGACAAATCTCCTACTCTAAGAAGATCGAAAGTCTCAGAGGGGAATCTCTCGTTCGGCAGCGAACCCAGAGAGGGAGACCGATGAAACGCTGACTATAACTACTTACTCCTATGAGATCTGTCGTACGTTTTCCATAGCAATTACTTCTCGTTCGGTTCAATTAAGCTATTTTGGTGGAGCCGTAATTTAACACAAGGATTTAGCAGTACGTCGAAATGCCCATTAGAGACTGGTAACTAACTTGGTTATACATTGGCAATCCCAGTTCCCGCGGCTCTTGATGTCGCTGGGGCAATGGTCGTTCTATGGAGAACCCACTTAGGTTCGATCGCGTCGTTTACTTCAATGTAAACGAGAAACGATTATATGTTCTATTCACACATTAAACGGCTTTTTAACTTTTTGTTACATTCCAGACGTAAATGACAAATTTTTTCTGGCCATTAATGTAATGAACATAAATGTTCGGAAATAATTTTCAATTCATTATTAGTTTGTTTATTTGTTACGAACTATTTTGTTAGAAATTTAATAAAAAAAACCACCTTTAATCCTAACCACCTAAGGAAATCTTCACATAAGTTATTAATAATGCTTCGCCTTTTTAGGTAAAGTAATAAACTAAAATCTTGCAACTAGAAATTACTCATTCTGTGGTTTTCATTTTATTCTGCTACGGATTTATTTCTTTAAACGAGTGCCAGTTCAATCACAATTATAGTAAATCTTCTTTAAAGCCACCCACATTTTCTTCACTCAGCATTACTTGAATCCTACCTATTTCTACTGCAATAAAGATTAACATCTGGAATATATAAACTCACACCTGCTATACTATAAACAGAATAGAGTTGTTAAAAAAAAAGTATTTTCAATCGGGTAAACTGTTTTAAATATTTAAATAATTTAAAAACTTATTACGAAAATTAGGAAACATTTACACTGCAAAAATTGTTATAGGTCATTAAAAGAAGAATTTGTTTAAAAAACATCAAGATTTTACAAACCAATAAAGAAATGTCATTAGAGGTGACTACGTAGCGCATGTACCAAAAATAAAGTAACTAAAGTTAACTGTTTCGTTAGAAAAAAAAGAGAGATACATTTGTCTTTCTTTTTTTTTTGTACAAATAATGGAATATAGGAGTGGACTGAAGAAGGGCATAAAGCGTTTTACGACACTTTACTTGCTGTGAGAATTCAGTCACGTAAAAGCGGTCCCAAGATAAATCCGTAAAACAGTGAAGTCACCGTCTGTTAAGCCAGCCAACCTCTCACATTCTAAACGCGTGCGAGGAACCTCTTGGGAAAAGATGACAGTGTATTTGTACGCAACAAGGAACGAGTATTATTCCATCTTTGTGACCACAAGCGATTTAAAAACTTTACAATTACTCTGACCACCGTTGTTATTGTTCTGTCCAGGAAGAATATTAGTCCTTTTGATTTTAACCATAAAAAAAAGGAGAAAATTCAGGTTGTACGTGTTTGTTTCTCCATTTGTCTAGGTCAAGAAAATGGCTAAATGTAACTTCACTTACATTTGCTATAGGTATAAAAATTTGTTACAAACATTAAATGGATGATAAATTGAAGTTTTCTAATAAGTTTGTCATTTAATGTGACAAATAAGCCTAAATATCATGTAACGATGTCAATTTTATTAACGACCAGTTTTTACATCATATGTACTTAGTTACTCACCGGGATAATTTAGGATGAATATAGGCCTGGATCGATAAATATTAAATAGACATAGGTTTGTAAATAAAAGACAGTAATTATCGCATTTGTAATATAAATTATTTATTGTAATTTAAATGTATTGTAATAAAAGTCTATTTGATTATGACGATGTTAAAAGAGGAAAAAAAATCACACATTCTAATCTACAAGCTGAGTCATTAGAAGCAATTTTAACATCACAATTCTTATTTAAATTATGCAAAACATAAATCTGCCTGTATAGAAATATAGAATTTTTTTTAACTAAAGCTGAGAAATGCATTACAAGAAGCAGCAGAAGCTTGCAAAAGGATTTTTCCTAACTTTAAGCGACACGAAAAATTATAATGTACATCCATTCAAATCCGTTAATAAAAAGCGGTTGCAAAAAACTGTACACAAATAATCTTTTGGTAGTGTGGAATATTTAAAATTTTAAATGTGTATTTTACTTTAGTAAAGTCTATGAGTGCAGAGAGATTTTCAAATAACAAGTAGATCAACGTAGGTAATCACAAAAAAATATTTCAAATATTTAAAAAAAAAACAGAAAACTTTACAGAAGCTATGAATAATAAAAAAAAATTATGCAAATATTTTTTTGATTTACGTAAGAAAAATAAATTATTAATTATTAATTATTAACTATATTTATTTGAATGTTCTTTCATTCATTCACTTTTTCTGTCCCTCACACTCTGAAGTTGTCTTTCATTTATACTTTTGTTTTTGTTATCTTTTAGATAGATTGTATATTATATTATTACTAGAAAATTTTACGTGCTGAACGTGATATTCAATTAATTATTCTTATGCAAATTACAAATATTTTTAATTTTCAAATATAAATTTTTTAAATAATTTCATAATGAAAATTTAAAAAATTCACTTATTAGTTATTATTTCACTTATTACTTTAGTAAAATTCTTCATACGAATTAAATTATTTTTAATTAAATTTAAATAAAATTACATGAAAGAATTTAATTATTTTCAAACAGTTTCCATAAAATGCAATTTCAACAGGAATTTAAAATTCTCTAAAAATAATTAAATTATTCTCAAAATATTCTTAAAAAATTCTAAATAAAAATTAAATTACTTTCAATGCAATTTTTAAATATATTCGTCAAAATAATTGAAAGAATTAAATTATTTTCAAAAAATAATAATATTCTTGTGATGAATTCAATTATTTTGAATATTATACATAATTTTAATAAAATTCTTTAAAGAAATTCCATTATTTTCGAAACAACTTTAATTGAATTTCTCGAAAAAATTTCATTATTTTTAAATATTTCTATAAAATTCTTCATAACAACTTAATTATTTCTTAAAACTTTTAAAAATTCTCGCGAAACATTTTAATTATTTTTATAAATAGTAAAATCCTTCTAAAAAATTCAATTATTTTTTTCAATAGTAAAATTTTTACAAAAATCGAATGATTTTCAAGAAAATTTTAATTAAATTCCTCGGATGAATTCAAATATTTTAAAATATTTTCATAAATTTCAATTATGTCCAAAAATTTTAATAAATTCTTCGAAACAATTTTTATAAATAGTAAAATTCTCCGCAAGAATTCAATTATCTTCAATTCACTTTTAATAAAATTCTTCTTCATAAAATTCAAATGCTTTCAAAATTTTCAATTAAAATTATTAAAGAAACTTCATTAATTTAAAAAAAAAATTCAAAGAAATTCTTCAAAAGAATTTAATTAGGATTTTTAAAAATTTTAATACAATTCTTTGCGAGAATTCAGTTATTTTCCTAAATAATAAAATTATTTGAAGGAATTCTATTATCAACAAATTTTTTAATAAAATTCTTTGCAACAATTCGATGATTTTCAATATATTCAATATATTAATTTTAAAATTGAAAATATTTGAAAAGAAAAATTATATAAAAGTTAATAGGTAATAATTATTATTTTTGCATTATTTTTGTTTATGAATCACAATTTTTTTAACAAAATCATTATTTTGTTTTAGAAAGAGAAGAAAAATATTTGCAAAATTCGTATTTTTTTAATCTTATTTTTGGAACAGGATTTTCCACAGGAATTAACACATTAAAAAATTTTTAATTCAAATATTTTTTAAATTAAACAACTTATAAAAGTAGATATTGTTAGAAAACAAGAAGATATCGATTGCTCCGAGTCGAAGACTCGGAGTGATCGATTTCTTCATGTTTTCTAATAATTAAAGATGGCCGAGAGATAAAATCATTATTTTATATTATAAGAATATATTGTTACTGTAACTTCATCAAAATTATTTTCATCATTTTAATTCAATTATTATTTTCTAGAATTTTAAATTATTTTTATGAAAATAATAAATTGACTTATAAAATTGACTTGAAAAAATTTATTATTTATAAAAATAATAATTGAATTCCTGTCAAATTTTTATTATTTATGAAAATAATTAAATGTTTGCAATACAATTTTATAAAAATTTTTTTAAATAATTGACTTTTTTTGGGAAATATTATTAAAATAGTAGATATTGAAAATCATTGAAATTAGAAAAATTCATTTTATTTTTTTTGGCAATAATTGATATTATGACAAAAATTTTCTTGACATTTAGGAAAATAATTGAATTTGGAGAAGAATTTTGTTATTTATAAAGATAATTGGGATTTTTACAAAATTTTTTTTTTCAAATTTTGTACATTGTTGAATTTTATAAGAAGAATTTTATTTTATTTTTTTTTAAATAGTTAAATTTTTGCAATTATTTGTAATTTCTCCAAAATTGAATTTTTTTAGTGTTTTCAACAAAAATTTAAATTAGAAAGTTTTCAAATTCTATTATTTTTAAAATTGCTAATTTTATTTTAAAAAAGGTAGTAAGATGTTAGCCGCGCGCTTTAGCGCGCAAATTGTTGCTAGTTATAATTTTAAAAATAATTTGTGTTACAAAAATACCCCACTACTTCACAATTTTTCTCACTTTTTCTAAATTGAAATATATGAATGAATTTAAAAATGTTTCAGGTGGAAATTAAAGGAATTTCTGGACCTATAGAATTTAAGGAGGGACAAAGAATACAATTTAAGTTGGATCTTTTGAAACTCAAACAACATTCACTGGTTAAAGTTAGTATTCCTCAAATATTTCCTCAAATTCAACAAATAAGAATTTTTACCATAATTCAAAAATATGTTTCTTTTTTTCAGGTTGGTGAATGGCAGCCTAGTATTGGAATTAATGTGACGGATGCACCTGCATTTTTTGAACCTGGACTTACAAATGTTACGTTGGTGGTTATTACAATATTGGTAAGATTATTGTTTTACATCTTAAGAAGCATTTTTTAATATTTGGTATTAAAAAAAAATTAAAATTAAAATCGTAACAACTAGGTTTGATATCATCTTTTTTGTATATAACCAAAATTTTTCGATTTAAAATACTAATCACGAGAAATTCAGTATTCTAAAAGTCATGTTTTCTGTCAATATTGTGCTGAATTTCATTTTTTTATTTTTGCGAGGTATTCACTCTGAAATGTATAGACATAAAAAAATCTTGAAATCCAAGGAAGAGAATAGAAATATTTTCTCCTGCCCTTTAAAGGCGTGAAATAAAAAAGTTATGGGACAAAAAAGATTTCAACCTTAGGGTACAAAATAAAATTGTAAAATTTATTATTTCAAAAATTTATTAAAAAATTAAGTAAGTAATATATTCTTTTAAATTCAAATAAATCTGATGTTTAGTTTTTACATTTACCAACTTTAAAATTTAATAGTTAATCTTTTTATTTGTATATACCTCGCATTTTTGTGTTTTTCTTATAACAAAATATACCATTAACCAGTTTTTCAATCAAAATGTTTTTCAATCAATGTGATCTTATTTAATTTATATAAAATTTCTTTAAAGATATCATTCAAAAGTTATTAAAAGAAAATGTTTTTTTTACTTTTCATATATATAGCCTCTAAATATTAACTTTTTTTTATCTGGTTTCACTTTCTTATTTTATACTTTCAATAAAACTTTAATATTTATGGAAAGCAGAAATTATAGCTTTTACTTTGATATAAAATATTTTTGTTTGAAAATTTTATTATTTCAGATAAATATTTTATAACACTCTAAAGAGAAACATGCATATTCATAAAACATTATAAGGTTAGGATAAACTGCATAAGCTGAAAGATGTTTTATTTGAGTCTTTTAAAGTTAAAGAAACTCTTGTTTTTAATACATAATTAGTATTTTATTACGTCTCCTCATTTCGATTAAAGAAATAATTTGTTGTCCATTGTGCACATTCAACAAATCCAAATAATTTCCTATATTGGACAGAAGCAGATGACAGATTGCCAATAGAATTCGAAGGCTAAGATTTTGAAAAGTTTTCTCTTATGTTCAATCTACAAGAGTACAACACTACAGTCAATTTTATCAATAATGTCTTGGATCTCGTTTTTTTGGAGATTTCTTACATTTTTTTTGTCCATATATATAATAAAAAAATTATTTTAAAAACTTTTTATTTTCTGAATTAAAGAAATGAATTTCAACAAAATTTATGACCAAAAGTTTTTATGGCAATGGGTACAAATACAAATACGAAAATTTAAATAAAATGACCCATAAATATTTCTACCAGGGACATGATGTTACTTCTGAAATAATTACGAACATTGACGTTTACATATATTATAAATCATAAAAAACACATCGATGAGATTTTAATGTATTTGTAAATTGAATGATCCAAATGCTTCGTTTAAATCAAATTATTTTACATGGCAGTAACTTTAAAACTAATGTAAATTTATTCTAACTTTTCATGCAGTTTATCTCAGCCTGAGTATAAAAAAGTTGCTTAATGTGATTTTTGTTCTTTTTTATCACCCTTTTACATTGGCTGCAACGGTGCTCGTGATTCGTTGCAAAACGATTGCGTACTTATCACTCTTGTGAGGCTATAGACTAGAGAAGTTCATTTTATTATTCCCGTAGGAACAACCATACGTAATGCTGAAGAGCGGAGGAAATTTCAGTGGTAACGAGCGTTACGAGGGTTTCTGCATCGACTTACTCAGAAACATAGCAGAGCTGGTCGGCTTCACTTACAGGATCGAACTCGTCCCGGATGGCAAGTACGGAGTTTACGATTATGAGACAGGGGAATGGAATGGAATTGTTCGCCAGCTGATGGACAAGGTAAACATTTTTTTCATTATTTTTTCTGTTCATTTTTTTTTTTTATTATCATCGCAATGAACAAAAAAAAATAGACTGCAAACTTTTATAATGGTCTAAAAAAAATAGGAAGCAACAAAAATTATTAACATCGTTACGTTTATCACCGAGCGTAGACAGCAGTCTGAAGTCTCGCGCTAAATCGTAAAAATCTATACGTACACCTTCAAATTCTTTTATGTTGGACTCGACTTTCATGAAAATACAACAGGTAACTAAATTACTTACTGTGCGAGTATTATACCTAATATTTTTTTTCTTTTTCTCTGCACAATCTCTGTAACGAATAGAATTTGATTTGGAATTTAATTTCAAAATGGAAATCAAACGCTTTTGATAAAGCTGATCTTCTTGACATACAACGAATTAAAGTGGAGTTATCAAATTCAGCTCTTCATTTTCTTTCATCAAATCTTCTGTTGTGTGTTCAAAAGAATTTAAAAGTTCAGAAATACATAAGTGGATCACTGTAAAAAGTAAAGAAGAATTGCATCATGTTTAAGCATTTTTAGCTTTAAGTTTATTAAAGAAGGCTTAAAATTATGACGGTTCACAAAACTTTTGTTAATTGTCATTCAATGTAAAAGATCTTAATTTGTAACTTAATAGATGTCTTCGGGATAATTTGTTTAAAAATGATTAAGAAAAATATTTGGACTATAGTCGTTCTTGTACATACGGAAACATCTATACTCAGCTTTATGCTTTATGCGCATTACTAATTTTTTTCATAAGAGTAAAATTAGAGATATTTTTCAATCTAAACTTTTCATGAAAAGTAAATAAATAACCGAGCAAGAGATCGGTTTATATATTGAAGTGGCGACGACTCCAGTTTATGAATTTATAAATTTTATATCCAATAATTTCGGTCGTAAAATGACGAGATTAATTGTATACCGCATGATATCTGTGCTTACTAATTCGTGCATCATGTGTTTACAAATCAAATGATCTCGGGACGTGACAATTGACAAATTCGACAATGACTGACAAATTTAACAATGCATGTAACGAATTTGACAATAAATGACAAATTTAAATAACAGGACTTATCTAAATGCTGTAACCAGACATTTTTTACCAAACGAGTAACAATAAACTAATAAATACAACAATATAAAAGCATTAGAAATTAAAAATATTTCAAGCTTTGTCAAAAGAAAAATATTTTTAATAATGAATAAAAAAATTCCACAAGAGCACTGTTATTTAAAAATATGCCAAAGTATTTTAGGTACGAACAACTAAAAGTAGAAATAATAGTATCTCAAGTTTATAAGAAAATTAAACAAAACCGAAACGTTGAGCGTCAGTCCTTTCTTGGGACAATTTTACAAAATAAGGTTTACTTGATACCTAATACAAAAGTTTATCAATAGAATCAATAGAATCAATAGAATTCAATTGTCAAACTCTGAACAATATTGAAGTTCCAGTAAAATCTGTTAAATGTAGAAAATAATTCACACACGCCGATGAGTTATATTTTAGATAAACTCAAGAGGTATTTTATTTTCTACAAACATATTGGATTTTAATTCACGTTTTTGTCTTACGATGATGAATATTCAGAAACTCTGCCATTTGTATGACTCTCAGTTTCTATTCCCCCTTTGGAATTCAATTTTGTGTAAACATTTTACTGTTTTCGCGTAGAAAATAAAAGTATATTTTTTGTCCCTTTTATAGAATTGGCAAAAAGGCGAAGTGCCAAGACTTTCTGAACCAGAATTGGTATGAGTCTCTTCGTTAAGGGTCGTTTACTCAATTCGAATTTCAGATCGACACTGTTCCAGAGGCTATTCGAACCACTATGACACGGTCCGTTTCAGTGAGACAAATTTTGCAATGCAAATGTCAATGATGTTTCCATTGAGCGGCACTCGGAAATGGTGCGTTGTATATGTTGCAATAGTACCGCGAGAAGCTGTTCGGTGGCAACGAAATACGCGAATAATAAACCAACATGGATAATCAAGTGTGTTTGCGACACTGACATTTCTGTAGAACCCACTACACATCCTCTGGTGTCGATAACAATCAGTAATTAGGAATCTCTAATTGAAATTGAAATTTCCCAATCACTTAGGTATGACCGTCTCTCCAAATTGGTTTCTGATTTAAAGAAAGATATGTATAATCCCTTCATTTCTTTGTTTCTTCTATTTTATTGCTGATGTGATTTAAATTTTTTCACGTGTACAAGTAAAACATGCATTTATTTTATTCTAAGAGAATAATTACTTTCGAAAAAAGATAAAGAGCTTTTTATAGTTTTTACCCTCCCTGTTGAAGAACTTTAAGAACATTAAAAATTACACTCACAAAACTCTCATTAAGCTATCTTGGATTAATTTTTGAATAAGACTTGAGAAAAAAGTTTCTTATTGTGAATGAAAAAAAAAAACTTTTAAAGTGGCATTAAACTGTAATTAACTAAATTAAAGTCATACAATTTTATGAGCTAAGTGACATTAAGAAGGGATTATTAAATTTAAATAAAGTTCTATTTTCTATAAAAATAAATCAACTGTTTCATTCTTTTATTATAAAGTAGAAATTCATCGCCTTTGAAAGTTTATCATTTTTCTCTCATGGTAAAATAGGTATAGAAAAAGGTGACAAATTAATGAGAAATGACTTCATCAAATATCTGAGTCTGATGAAGCATCTACCCATCTGTATTAGGATCAGTTAATAAAGCTGTTGGTATAATTAATCACATCACGTTATTGTAGTCTGAGAAGGATCAGCCTTTATTACCAGAAAGCATTTTTCTTTCACCACTGTGGTTGTGCTTGCCATCTCGTCAAACACATTAATTTTCTAGATATTCATGACTGTATTATGTGAATTATAATCTAGTAGAGAATAAATATTCGCAATCTCTAGAATCTTAAAATTTTTTATTTATTAGATTTGTAAATTAGAAAGTGTCTGCTGGAAAATTTATATTAGCTTCCTGTTATGTCTAGCTATGGCGAACCTCACAAAAAGGAAAATCTAACACTAACAATCAACACAAGACAGGATAAACTTCATCATTAGAAGGCATGGGTTATTTTAATTCTACAGAACCCATTGGTCTATCAACATTTAGTTCGACAATCAATTTTCGATACTATTAATCAGTTTAGGCAATAGAAGCCTTGTACAATACATTGTACTATGTATTCAATTCAGCAAGAAACTGTTAGTTTTAGGTACTGGATCTATCACACCGTATGACAAACATACCTATTTTTCTAACTGTAGTGATTGTTTTCCTTGAAATTTAAAAATAATTCCAGGTTTTAAATTTATATTCTTTAGGTGGTAATCCGATTTGGATTACAAATAAACTATCCGAATCCCGTTGGTACCTTTAAATTACGAGCATAACTGAGCATACATCATGTTAGCTTATTAATTTTTCATTTCATGAATAATTTTTCATATAAATCTTTGACTAGGTATTAAGAATCCTCACACTGATAATGAAATTCAATCTTCACTAACCCTTTTACTGTATGTGGAATTGCTGATGCTTTTCGATTATCTAGGACAACGTCACACATCGACTAGTATATTATTATGTAATATCTCCGCAAAAGCGTATCCAGTTCCCCTAGCAACATAACGGAATAGAGATCACTCTCGGCCAATGATTAAAGCGATAGAGATCCGTTCACCGATTTCCACAAGGGTCACAAAAGCCAAGTATCCCCTCGCATAGTTAAACCGAATATTTTGTATTTTGAAAAACTACTATCGAATTCGTAATCAGCAACCTCAGAGAGCTATTGGGCTAATCTCCTATCATCATTCTCCTCAGTGATCAAATGTATTAAAACAAACAACTTTCAGGTTGTTTACTGGTCAATTTTTTCATTCAGGTAAATTTCCTCAGAATTTACCATAAATTATCTGGACGTTGGTAATTTTAAAATTAACTTCACTAATGTTAGTCTAACGTTAGTATCATTAGTTAACCCAAGATACAATTAAAGTTTTAACGAGGTTAACCTTCCAAATACTAACTGTATTATTATTACAAAGACAATTCTGTTAAAACAAAACTATAATCTTTAAAGCAAGTACTTTAGAAACTTTACTACTGAAGTAAATTCCATGACAACAGATAAAGAATTAATAGCAATTGTAAGGGTTGTTAAACATTTTAAACATCAGCATTTGACGAAGAAAGTTTCAAATTGCAACCCATTGTAAATTTTTAATTTGCTTAGAGGCGCATAATTAGCTCCCAAATGTCATTTGACCAAACTGTCATTTTACCGAATTGCATTTATCCGAACTGTTATTTTAACGAAATGTCACTTTTACGAATCGTCATTTTTACGAATTGACACTTTTACGAAAAGTCATTTTTGCGAAATATCATTTTAACGAATTGTCATTTATGCGAACTGACATTTTTTCGAATTGTCATTTTTACGAATTGTCAGTTCGCATAAATGACAATTCGCAAAAATGAGTTTTCGCAAAAGTGACAATTCGTAAAAATGTCGATTCGCAAAACTGACATTTCGTAAAATGACAATTCGAAAAAAATGACATTTCGGAACAAGAACGATTCGTAAAAATGACAATTCGTAAAAAGTGACATTTCGTTAAAATAACAGTTCGGATAAATGCAATTCGGTAAAATGACAGTTTGGTCAAATGACATTTGGAGAATAATCATGCGCCTCAGAGGATTGGTTCCAAAATGGACTAAAGTTAAAGAGGATATAAAAATTAAATGAACGTTATTTATATTCATAAATTTTATTATAAATATTATAATTATTGTGTGCCAAAGAAACAATTATGTTGTATTTAAAATATTTTAACTGTTCCGGACATAATAGTTTAAGCGTCCATGCATAAGTTGAATAGGTCTAAAATTTTCTTTAGTATCCCCGTCTAACACTAATTGTCTAAAAGCTGTAATCTATAAAAAAATAATTATTTTAGCTACATATTAACAGTTTGTATAAAACTTGTGTCTAGTATTTTGTAACAAAAAAATTCAAACCTGTTTTTCGTTAACATTTCGAAGTTTTTCCGCCAACAGCCATGTTACAATTTGAAGACATGGAGGTGTTGTTAAAGATCCTTCATAAGTAATAAAATGCTTTTCTTCATTCAAATGAAGGATCGATAGTGAAAACGGAAGTATTCTTACAGATTCTCCAGACAGTTTCACTTTATGTAAGTGTCTCACGACAGGATTGAGATTTATAGCAAAATATTCGTTATACTGAAAATTTTTCATTTAATATTTTTTATTGTAAATTAAAAAAATTAACTGTATTTTTTATTAAAAAAAAAGTAACTTTTATATTTAATACCAATTTCTAAATTTATAGAAATCAAAATAATTAGACGATTTAATTCAAAATTACCGTAAAGATTAATCCAATTACTACAAGACCGTCAGGTTTTGTCAGAGCATTTTCAAGAGATCCATAATTACTTTTATAATGTACCAAGTGTGCCTCCAAAGCATATCTGCCAAAGAAATATTAAATTTGAAATTTTTCAATTATACTTTAAAATGATTTTTAATAACTTAAAGAATAAAATTAAGAAATTAATATGATACCGTTGTCCATTAAATGTATGTTCACTTCCCCCTGAACTATTTTGACCCCAATGAAAGTGTAAACTGTCGAACAGATACGGATCACTAAGAGGTCCACCAGAAACATTTGGTATTTTACCAGCCGGCCATTTTGCTTCAACTTTTACTGCAATCATTAAAATTTCTTCGAATTCGCATCAATATTATTAAATAAATCATAAAAATAAAGAATTCAAATATTTCATACTTACCACCGTGACCATCATTTGTTAATTTCATCGCTGTTGGAAGACCGTTGTAATCTTTTAATTTTAATGATTTGGGAATAAACATTTTACTGGATGTTAAATCTAGATCTATAGGTGATTGTCGAGTTCCACCACATTCAGGAAATTCATTTTTCCAAAGGTCCGCATCTTTGTAATCAATACCTGAAGAAATCACTTTCTTTAATCGAAATAACTTTTAAATTAGAAAAATATATGTTAAGTAAAATAACAAATAGCAATATAATAATTTATGTATAATAAATATATTATGTATACATAAAATTATCATTTAACGATAAATATGAATGATAAGTTCTCACAATAAAATCCCAAAAATTGATGTATCAATATGAGTACTACTGAAAGCCATGTAGTCATTTTAAATTTTTTAATCTACTTCAAAGTATAACAATAAACTAACTCGGAGGGAATTTATTCTTGCATTTTATTGCAATATTTATAAATGTTTATTAAAAATAATTATTTGTTGTTATAAGATATGGTAAGAAGGACAGATAATTTACCGTTTGGGAAACACATACCTTTATGAATACAATATATTACAATGGAAGGATTCTAAGTGAATAATATCTATAAGGAAAAGTTATAAATCTACAAGTAAAATATTGAAATTTATAGTTTTAAACTCGATAGTTCCCGCTTTGGAGTGATAATTATTTCCAAACAATTAAGCTTGTAATCACTATTTCGTTGCTAACTTCTAAATAATTTTAGATTACATTCTATTTCTAAAAGTTTTTAATGTACACAAAAAACACATAAAATTAGTTGACAACACAATTTTAGTTGACCTAAATTGAAATTATTACTTTAATAAATTTTTTTTAAATATTTGATTCCTCGTTTCAAACAAATGTAAATAAACTTCGTTTGAAAAATGTTAAAGGTACCATTGTACCTTTAACATTAATGGTACCATTGTACCTTTAACATTAATGGTACCATTGTACCTTTAACATTAATGTTAAAGGTAAATGTTAACGTTAATAATGTTACCGTATTACTTTGTAAATTTTAATAATAAAAAATTTAATTTTGTATTGTGTGTAACAGAATAAGTAATTACAATAATACACCTTAAGCATTATATGATCTAAATTGCAATTTTAAGTTTAATGAAATTTTTTTAATTCGAAAGTATTCAAATTTATTTTAACCGAAATTAAATTAAAAAGTCTTTGTACCACGAAAGAACGCGTGTCTATAAATGAATGATGAGATTTGCTAATGAACCAAAGGGGTTTAACTATTAGAGTCTGGAATATAGTCGGCGATGCATCAATTTGAAGTGAGCGGAAATTTCTTGAGAGTAAAGTTTTTAGTTACTATACCTAGTAGAAAAAAAAATAATCTTAATAAACTATTTCTAACAGTGACTGATGATAATAATAATACGAGATACTGATAGTTTAAAAATTTTATAGGCTCACTTAATTTTTTAGAAATATAATAACCCAGTTATATTCTCATCACTGATTAGTGATTACTAAAGAAAATAATACTTACAAAAGTCACTTAAAGCAAAAAAAATTATAATAAAAGAAAAAAAAATATTTTTGATTGTAACTTAGATGCTTTTTGGTATTTTGTGCACACTTTTCCAATAATAGGCAGAGACTTTATTCCTCTCGCGCAAGGAAAAGTGACTCTAGTGACATCTCATTTTAACTGACTGCCTTCCTCTATTTTGTGGAAAACTTCTAAGCGTCTGAGATATGACACGTTTTTCTATCCTCCTTCTTCGCAACGACCAAGAATCTTTAGAGGAAGTCGAATTTAAAACTTTTTCATTTTCTTTCTTTCAAAACTGTACACATTCATACACCCTTTCAACTTCTCATGTCTCGTTCTTTCGCTACTATTTTCACTTTAATTATAAAAATGAAACAAAATTATTTTATTTATCTTTTATGATAAATTATTATTCATTAAAAGCCTTAGAGTGTACTTTTTTTTAGGGTTTTGTGTGTTAGGATTTGTCTTTTGTTTCTATTGCTGAATTAGTTCAGGTTACTTAAAAATCGATGAACTTTCAAGAGTAGAGGGATGCAGTTAGTTATAATTCATTTTTCCCGATTAAGAGTTTATCACTTTAATTTCCATAATACTTTACTCCAAACACATGTTTTTCAACGTCATATGATTATTCTTTTATGTAACAATCGTTATCTTGAAATATTTGTTATCATTAACTAACCGACAAAAAAGCTTGATTAAAAAAATATTGAAGTTATTAATTTATTATAAACATAGTTTAATTCACAAGAATTTAAATTTCAATTTAATGTCACTTTTCACATCTTATTTTCTTTGTAAACAATTTATTCGTATTTATATTCTTTTGAATCCTTGACCAAAATTATACAAACTTTTTATTCTAATTAGTTAGAATTGCAATCATTTTAATTCTGTTCAGTAGCATAAAAATTTATAATAAATTGAATTTTCTTTTATAATGTAAATATTGCGATCACTTTAATTTATTTTTAGTAAAAAAAAAGACTGTTGCCCGCATTAAAAAAGCTGCAAAAATGACTGAAATATGCAAAGCTTTTAATTTTAAATTTATTTAGATACTTTAAGGATGAATTTAGCATATTTTAATCGACCTTTTCTTACCGAGTAAATAATTAATATTGAAAAAGCATTAATTTTTTTAAAGAATTTTAAAATTTAATGATAGTCCACTATATAAGAAGCATAAAAATTTTGATTTCCAAGTTATTACATTCGAAGAAATTACATCAGTAATAATTGAGAAGTAGACGAACATAAGAAGGTTAGTATAGAATAAAAAAAACTTCAAAAATAAATGAAAAATTTTTAAATAGTAATTAAAAATTTCGTAAAATGTACTTTTTTAACAATTAATTTAAAAAGCTGAAGTGAAGTACAAAAATGTGATTTTACTAATTTTTATCGTTTTATTATTTATTGTTTGTATCTGTTGGCATTCTCTAAACCATTTATTACAATATTATCAAAATACATACCTTACATCTGCTTTTGTTACTTTAAAGATTGACACGAATACTGCAATTTTATTTACTTCTGACGTTTCAAAAGAATTTATATTTTTATTAGATACGTATATTATGATAATTTTTCCTCAAAGTTGATTTCTTTGTTTTTTTCTCAATAAAATCAGCCTCAACTGGTTATTGGAACGTCATTTTGTGAATTTGAAGTTTTTTATTCCGTACCGACTAATTCAATTTCTTAAACATTATTTTGTGTAAAAAATAGCCGAAGATGATAACAAAAGTTTCAACTGTAATTATTTTAATCCAGCTTTTTATTGGATCGTACAGTAAGATAATCAAAAGTTTCTTAACTCTTAATATTTAGATAATACAGTATTCTTTAAAAAATAGAAATTATTTGAAGGTTTCGATTACAATTTTCCAAATGAATGGGCTAATGATGGTAACATTTGTAATGGAAGAGGCCAGTCTCCTATTGATATTAATATCACAAATATTGTTAGAAATAGAGTTGATAATAAAATAAAATTAAGCAACTACTGGGAGGTTCCATCAGAAATGACACTAACAAACAATGGTCACAGTGGTATGTTAAGGATACAATCTGATATATATATATACAATTACATAATTATCTACACTTCTATTTAAAGAAAAGTTTAGGGTAATTTTTGAAACTTTCAATAATCTTTTTATTTAAGTGCAAGTTTCGGCAAAATGGCCTAATGGTTTAATTCCATCTATATCTGGTGGATTACGAAAGAATCAATATGTTTTCGATAGTTTACATTTTCACTGGAGTCAAGCTGATAATAGCGGCACTGAGCATTCAATTAATGGAAAACGGTAAAATTTTATTATAATTTTTGTTTAAATTAATTTTGCCCAAAACTTTCACAAGAATAATCTTTTCTTTTTTAATTTACGTTTAATGCGACTTAGTATAAAACAAAAAAATAATGTATTATACTTGAATACCTTATGATGCATTTAGGCCAATAATATGTTTACTTGTTTCAATAGATTCGCCTTAGAAATGCATTTAGTGCACTACAGCAAAAATTATGGATCAGTTTCAAATGCTCAAAAATACTCCGATGGAATAACTGTAATAGGATTGATTTTCCAGGTAGATTAAAAAATACCCTTTAAAATTAGGAATTTTTAAGCATTTTTCGAAAAATTCTATCTACTCTTTACAATCATTACATATTTTGAATAGTGTGATAAGATGGAAGCTATTTTAAACCTAATTAAAAAAATAATTATTTAGATTGATGATGTTGCTGAATGGACACTTTCAACAATAGTAAATCAATTGAAACATGTTACAAAAAAGGGACAAACTGTTAAAATAAACCCATTTCCTCTAACAATGTTTAATTTAGACAGAGAAGATTTATTCATTACTTATGAGGGATCTTTAACAACTCCACCATGTTCTCAAGCCGTAACATGGCTACTACCTATGAACTTTAGATACCTTACCAATAATCAGGTTTGCATTATTATTTAATAAAAATATGTATAATATGACAATGTTTTCTATACACTATTTTGTTTAATTAATTTAAAATTCAATCTATCCATAGATTAAGGCATTTAGGAATATAGAGTTGGATTTTGGAAACAAAGCAAATGTTAGGCCACTTCAACCACTGAATCAACGATTACAATATTTTGTTGAATTGGACAACAACTAAAATTGTCATACAAACATTTTTTTTATTAAATTAACATTTTTCTTTTAAGAGATAATTAAAATAATAAGATAGAAGTTTAAGTTTATTTAGAAGTTTTACTTTAATATAATGTTTTATATAAGAAATTAAATGTACTGAACAATAAATACTATTTTACATTAAAACACTCGTTGGATCAATTTTCTTAAAATATTTCCTAACCCATTTCTTTCAATTTTAATATTTTTTTTACAAGAAAAGAGAAAATATTTGAATTCCTATTGGAGGAAATTTAATTCTCAACCCGGAATCGAATACTACCACAGAAAACCTCATAGAAAATGTATATCTCGGATTGTAAAATAAAATTGACTTCGTTTATAAAAGTGAAGACTGGAAGTGAATAAAAAAATATCGATTCTTCAGACATGTATTGACTAAATAATTTACATTGTTTTTGCTCTTAACAAAAATATTAAAAATATTTATGTCAGGAGAGAAGTGTTATGCTTGCATTAATTTGAAAGTCGCGGTCATGAAATTATTAAAAGTGATTTAATTAAGTGCCTGATAAGACAATATCTCCAGGCTGAACTATGTGACGTATGAATTTTAAATTCATAAAATTTTCTGCTAAACGCCATTCAAAATCTCACGATTTCAAAGCAATAAAAAGAGCTTGTCCCGTCAATAAATGAAATGAATAAATAACAAAAGAAAAATTTTGCATTCATTATTGCAGAGATTTTAGGCTGATTCTATTTCAATTCATGTAGGGCAAGTAGGTTAAAAATTCTAAATCAAGTTAAAGGTAATTTTTCTTGTTCTTTAGGACAAATTAAGAGACACGTATTTTTTTATTTAGCGAAAAAAATTTTTTAGCTGAGTTATGAGTGTTTGAAAATTTTAGGACATATCGTGATTTTAGAGCTAAACAGCTGACAAATTATTTTCAAATCTTTCTACTTTTTGCAAAAATAAATATTTTTCAATTTTTTTTCTTGATTTTAGTAGTGTTTTTGATACTTTTTCTTTGCAAACTTGAAAATTTGAAAAACTTTGAAAATTAACAAAATGGCGGCCATTTTTCGATAAATCAAAAAAGTCAATTTTCTCAAAAACATCATTTTTTATTTTTCTTATAATTTTTGTGTGATTACTAGATGAAAAAAGGAACCTTTTCCAAAAGGTTTCAAGTCCGCTAAAACTATTTGGAAGTCGCTATAATTTTTTTCAGAAAACAACAAATCTCATTATTTTCTCTCTAAATCTGAATCAGTGAAATTCCACTGAAAATCAGTGGAATTTCACTGAAAATCAGTTAATTTTGGTACTTTTTATTTGCAAACTTGAAAATTTTGAAAATTAACAAAATGGCGACCGTTAAATTTTTTGGTCGCCATTTTGAATTATAAAATTTTAACCAAATATTCTAACTCAGCGACCCCCAAAAACCTCCAAATGAATATTTTTATTCAATTATTTTTAGTATTTTTAGTTTTCGATTTTTTGAAAAATGGCCGCCAATTTGTTAATTTTCAAAATTTTCAAGTTTGCAAACAAAAAGTAGGTACCAAAAGCACTACTAATCATCGAAAAACATAAACATGCAAAATATATATATGCCGATACATTACTCAAAATAATGAGATTTGTTATTTTCTGAAAAAAATTATTGCGACTTCCAAACAGTTTTAGCGGACATGAAACCTTTTAAAATTAGTTCCTTTTCTCATTTAGTAATCACACAAAAATTTTGAGTAAAATAAAAAATGATGTTTTTGAGAAAATTAACTTCTTTGATTTTTGGGAAAATGGCCGCCATTTTGTTAATTTTAAAATTTTTTAAATTTTTCAAGTTTGCAAAGAAAAAGTATCAAAAACGCTACTTAAATCAAGAAAAAAAAATTGAAGAATATTTATTTTTGCAAAAGTTAGAAAGATTTGAAAATAATTTGTTAGCTGTTTAGCTATAAGCATTTATGTAATTTTTTTTTGTATTTCTAAAGTAGGACATATGACAGATGACTGAAATTAAATATTTACAGCTGCTTTAGTAAGTTAACAAAATTATGTGACTTTTTTCTGAGGGAAGTATTTTAGCCACATTTTGACGCACAGTTTATTTTCTTGTGTTCTCTTGTTTCCGAGTAGTAAATCTCCAAGTCAGAGATTCAACTTATGACTAATTAACATCCCTTTGGAACAATTTGAGAACTTTGAAGATTAATAACGTATCCTGAATTGTAATACAAATGTCCATTTTACTTTAGTGTCGTGTTATAAGAAATATTTTCATATTGCTTTAAACTGAAAAAATAGAGTGAATTGAAGTTATTACATAATTGCAAATAATATTATTTACTTGATTGTCCCGATATTGACCAGTAAAAAGAAATGTAAATTTTAATATAAAAGTTATTTATTAAATTTATAATTTTGAAATTAATGTTTAAACTAATCTAAGTACACAAAAATAATTTCTTTCAGAAAGCAGACTTAGCAGTGGGATCAATGACCATCAACTACGCACGTGAAAGTGTAATTGACTTCACGAAGCCATTCATGAATTTGGGAATCTCAATTCTTTTTAAGGTAGAACATAAATTTTTCATTAGTTAATAAAACTGCAAGTTAAAAAATGAGATCAAAGTTTATTTCATGACTCGCGAGTAGCAATTAACTTTGCCCTCAACGTTTCTCTTGCATTTGAACAAGCCAGTTCCCCTTTAAATCTGGCGCCGGTTTGCAAACTGCCTCGAGCAGACCAGAGGACACATTTTTATTTAACATACACAATACACATCCTACCTTGTCAAGGCTGGTCTCTTGGTTTTTTGGTAATTCCCTGAATTAATATCGCACACTCAACTGCTGGCGCCAGTGCTTTTAATTTTTTGCCTGGACTCGCTTCGAATTCACCTCAATCTATGTATCTTGGTAAAATTAAAAAAACAACTTTAATTCTTTATAATATTTTTTACTATTGTTTCATAACCAAAATTAGAACAATAAATATGTAATAGTTTTTTGTATGTAAATTTAATTTCTTATTCAGTAAACAGCAATTATTTAGTTCAATAACTTGACAAATAGAGAGAAAGCTAAGAGGATAAGGAACAATCTGCTTTAATTTGTATTAGAACACTTGAATCGCATTTCACTGCACACACACACCTTGTCTCTGAATTATGCAAAATTTAATTAATTAAGAGACAACTCAATAAGAGCTTCATATCTTATTAATGATATGTTTGAAAATGTCAAAATTAAACTTCTTTAATTATATTTGAATATTTTAAAAATTAAAAAATTTTAATAAATAAGATAAAACATTTATAAAATAGAAACGAAATTCATATGAAAGCTTTTTTTTAACTATATACCAGTTTCGGGAAGTATCTTATTGAATAGATTTATTATAAAGGGAAATTCTTTTGATGATTCTAAATTAGTTGAGATTTAATTAAATTAGGTCAAGAGAACTCAGTAGCAACATATTCATTCTAAATAGAAGGCAGTAATTATACTCAAGGCTTTTTATCAAATTCAATACCTTGGCTTGGAATCTTAAATGGAATACCGTCTCAGTTAATTAAAATGAAACATTTTCAATTGTTAAAGTCTTTACACAAGAAGCGGTTGCTAATTTTCTCGACGCTTAAAAGACAATCAGAGATAGCAGATAAAAAGAAGGAGACTTTGAATCTTACTTACTTTCAAGTATCAAATTATTTGTGCGCAATTTCAATGAGTAAAGGTTACAATTGTAAAAGATTTTTTTTTAGTCATTTAGTGGAAACGTTGATCCTACGATGCATCCTTTATATCCTTTAATGCGTTCTTTAAGTGATCCTGGATATACCGTAAACGTTAAGCATACTTAAGGTAAACGTAATATTACTCCCTTTGCAGTTTTGTATGTACAGGAAGAATTTATTGTTCTGAAAATTATCTAGAATAAAAGAGAAGGAAAAGAATATCTTTATTTTTTCAAGAAAAACCATGAGACCAATTTTAAAATGTATGCTATTAATTATATCTATTTTCCTAACACAACTCCTAACTCTCTTCAAGTGTATGTTTGTGTTGGTCAATGCGTTTGCACTTGAGTATACAAATACCTATAAAATAGTGAAGAAACTTTCCATTCAATTTCAATAGAAATTCACAAACAGTGAACAATCTTGTCGACCACTTATAATCAATTTCAAATTTTCAAACAAAGAGTAATGACACTTCCTCAGATTTTCGACAATGCGGAAGTTGGTCAAATTATTCGCACATCGATCGACTTCAGGGGTGAGTTAATCGATCGCACAAACCCCAAACTTTTTATTTGAAGAAACTTGATCAACCGTCTTTTGAAGTAAAGTCAGAATAATTTTCTGGTACGATTCGTCAAAATTTAACTTTTGCGTAGGAACAGTGAGAAATCACATTTTAATATTGTCGAAGTTAATTTTTAAGAAATTGTCAACAAAAAAGCATTACGTTACCAAACTAGAACTTTAATTTATGTATTCCTAATTTATGTACAGAACAGACTATTAATTTTACAATTATCAAGATTCACCTTAAGTCCTTAAATTAAAATTTCCACTGCTGTCACTATTATTGTGAACTAAATAGCCATAGATACCAATTTGTAACTGATAATTAAATTAAGTGCGACTGAATTTGAAACCAAGTTTCCGTGAAAATTAATCCATTCAAGACAATCTTAACCGCAAACCCTTTGTAGATGATAATTGTACAGTCGAATCAATATTGTGGTCAGAATGAGAATTGAATTCTTCCAAGTTAGCCAAGTAAATAGAATTGCTAATTAAACGAGAAAGCATCTTACCAAAGTTGACATTCGATTATCGCTAGTTAAAGGTAAAGACCGTTCGACCACAAACTTACTGTCAATCAATACTAAATGAAGTCAAACACACTTATGTAAACTTGAAATTTAACTTTTATACTAAAGCTGCAATAAAATCAAAGTTAAACTAACGAGTGTAATTGCTTTTCTTAGTGAGATTCATAAAATTAAACTTGTACTTCTATGGGACTTTTTTAACTATCAGAAAAGTTCAATATTTTAACTGGAATGAAACAAATTTTTTAAATTTAAAAATTCTTTGATGTAAATATGAAAAAAGTAAAGGAAAATGTAATTTGTTCACAGGTACCAACGAGTCATCCAGCGAGACTATTTTCTTTCATGAATCCTCTAGCTATCGAACCCTTATGAAAAAAGAGTACTGGAATGAGTATTGGAAAGAGTACTGGAATGAGTATTGGAAAAAGTACTGGAGTGAGTACTGGTTTGAGTATTGGTTTGAGTATTGGAAATCCAGTACTTTTTTCGCCTTTATATAATCTAAAATTCTTTTACTCGAATATTTGCAATTGACTCTATTCTTAAACCTGAAATATTATAAGTAAAATTCATTTTTCTTATTTTTATTTCCTATAATTCTTATTTTTCTTAATTCTAATTGTCGGAATAATTTTCTGTCATTTCTGTCGACTTTTTAATGTCCACATAACCTAAAATTTATTATTTATTTTATTTAAAAATAAATATATATATATATATTTTTTTTTTAAAATCACATAATCATATCCACCCCCACAGCACCGAAACTTTCCTAAAAATGTAATTAATATTTACTTGCAATATTCGGAATATTTAATTGCAATGTTTATTGAAAGTTGTGTACAGATTTAAATGTCCCGATTAAATAAATGTTTAGCGCGAAGCTTTCCTGAACATTTCAATAAAATCTTTGCATAATTATAATTATAATTATGCAAAGATGTAATTTCATGTTCAGGAAAGCTTCGCGCTAAACATTTATTTAATCGGGACATTTAAATCTTTATACAATTTTCACTAAACTTTTCAGTTAAATATGACGAATATTGCAAGTAAATATTTAATAAATTTTTAGGAAAGTTTCGGTGCTATGGGGGCACTAATATTGACATAATTCCTATTTTTTTAATGTCCTATTTTTTATTTTATTTGTTGTTTTTCGTTCTTCCAATTGTCTATTATAAGTCAGACTTTTTTTTAATAAAAATTTATTTTAACGAATGGGCGTTTGACACATTTATTTTTTCTAAAAATCACATAATAATATTCACTAAGATTAACTGCTACACGGAGAGAGAATATATATTAAATTTTGTAAAAATATTTTCAAATTGGGGAAAAAGTGCGACAAAGCGAAATTTTGATATAAAAAATACTAAACTTTAAAAAAACTTATGTGAAATTTAGTATAATTATATTAAATATCAAGAATATTAATTAAATTCTAATATAACTTTAGTAAATTTCACAAAACTTTTTTTAAAGTTTAGTATTTTCTATATCAAAATTTCGCTTTGTTGCACTTTTTCTCCAATTTGAAAATATTTTTACAAAATTTAATATATATTCTCTCTCCGTGTATTTGGCATAATTCCCAATTTTCTGAAAAGTTAAATGTCCTATTTTTTATTTTACTAATTATTGTTCGTTCTTCAAAGTATCTATTTCGCTTTTGTTGCAATCGTTGCAATGCAATGTAATGGCAATCATATTAACAGCTGAGCCTTTACGCTCGCTGCATGCTTCTGCCCTTTACTGGCAAATGGCTATAATACACGTCTTGCCGCCTGTCATAATTGCATTACTTTTGTACCTTTTGTATTTCCCATTCTGCAACCGCGTTTCTGCATAGATTTAAACAATCTTTTGAATTATTGTAATTTAGAAGATGCTTACCCATTGTTCGTTGGCAGATTTTCTAAAAAGTGCCCGTGTACAGAGAAAAACTAGTTCGAAAACATTTGTTTACTAATTTCACGTCGTTTAACCCAGGCAGTGCCGTTTTTCTTATAATAATTGTAAGTCGCACATAACCTCTCAGGCGGAAATTTCCAACCGGCGCGGATCCTAGCCCGTACTGACGCCGGTGTAACTGTACTGGCTCGGAACCGCCTGCCAACCGAATGTGAACGGGCATTCTACCGAATAGTGACTAGGCCAGGAGCGCGCTGGCAACCGGCTCGGAACTGGCATTCTACCGCCCGCTGACCGGCCGGGAGAAGCCGTTCCGTGTATAATTCAACCGGCTGGGATCTGGCACTCTACCGACCGCGGATTTTTCATTTAATAGCCAGCCGAGCGCTGGCATTCTACCGACTGACAACCGGATCGGATCCAAATGATAATTTCAACAAATATCAATAAAAAAAATAATAATTAATTGCAAAAGATAAACACTAATGACAATTCATTGACAGTTCACTTTACACATTTTTTTATACACTTAAACGCAATTTTTTTTATACATACACATTTGAAAAATCCTAACGCTTGGAGGTACGAACCTACGCCTAACCGAATATTTACGCACCGAAATCTCGCACGCTAACCACTATGCTACGCTCGCATGGGACTCTCAAATCTTAAATACTCTCAAGTGTCACTAGCTCAAATAAAACTTGCAGAATTACTACGCGTCAATGATACCGCTATATTTTCAATACTTTATTGAATGTATATTTAGGACTATTTCGATATTTCGTTAAAAAAGAAACTTGTTATATTTTTATTATTATATAATACATATTATATTGAATATAATTGTTTTTCAATATAATAATATTGAACGTAATAATATTAATAATTTTAATTAACATGTCAATAATAATAAATTTAGTATTATTAAGATATTATTAATTAACATTAATATTGTTGAGAATTAATAATAAATTATCAATATTAATATTAATTAATAATATATCAATAACAATAAATTTATTATTATTAAGATATTAATTAAAATTATTAATATCATTACCTTCAATATTATTATATTGAGAAACAATTATTCAATTATTATTGAGATATTATTAATTAATATTATTATTAATATTAATAATTTATTATTAATTCTCAATAATATTAATGTTAATTAATAATATATAATATTAATTAATAACGAATTTTTTAATTATTTAATTTTTAAAAAAGTCTCAATAAATAATTACTTAATATATTGATTAGATTTATATAATAATAATTATTTTCTAAAATAATGCAATTACTTGTAATAATTATTTAATTTATAATGTGACAATAAATGACGAGATCCGCAGTCGGATCCTCCCCAGTACCGAGCCAGTACAGACTCAACATATCCGTCATTCTTCCGACGCCGCAGAAGAATAAGATCCGCCGGCGGAAGAAATCCAGTACCGAGCCAGTACTGACAATAGTGGGAAGACGGTTCCGACAGTCGGAGCATAATCTGTACCGCGCCGGTTGCTTTTTTAGATCCGAATCGGTACAGACCGTCGGTACTTGCGGTCTGTACGGGCGCGGATCCCAGCCGGTTGTAAACTCCGACGTTCGTCCGACTTTTCCGCCTGGGCTACAAATTTCAGAGACTTGACAATTTAATTCACACCTTCAAAAATTGTTATGAATTAGAGATTATGATTAATTATTTATATATTCGACGAAATAATTCAATTCTCCTAATTAATCCATTATTCTATAATAAATCGTGTTATAATTTCTCTAACGGGCGAATTAATCTTTTTTTTATTTCGCCCATTTTTTTGTATATTCTTCTGACGGACGAAATAAACTATTATTCTTATTTCGCCCGTCACTGTGTATTTTTGTGACGATAAAAATTTTTTATTTTTAATAAAAAAAGTCTGACTTATAGACAATTGGAAGAACGAATAACAATTGGTAAAATAAAAAATGGGACATTTAATTTTTAAGTAAATTGTGAATTATGTCAATATTAGTGTATATGATTTTTTGATTTTTAGAAAAAAAAATATATAAATATATATATATATATATATATATATATATATATATATATGTATTTTTTTTAAATAAAATAAATAATAAATTTTAGTTTATGTGGACATTAAAAAGTCGACAGAAATGACAGAAAATTATTCCGACAATTAGAATGAAGAAAAATAAGAATTATAGGAAATAAAAATAAGAAAAATGAATTTTACTTATAATATTTCAGGTTTAAAAATTGAGTCAATTGCAAATATTCGAGTAAACGAATTTTAGACTATTTATAAAGGCGAAAAAAGTACTGGATTTCCAATACTCAAACCAATACTCACTCCAGTACTTTTTCCAATACTCATTCCAGTACTCTTTCCAATACTCATTCCAGTACTCTTTTTTCATAAGGGAAATATGGCTCTACGTATTGGCTGCATACGTTCTCGTTTCTGTAACGATGTTCGTTGTTGCTCGATTCAGTCCGTACGAATGGAACAATCCACATCCGTGTCATGCGGGACCGGAAATCGTCGAAAATCAGTTTTCGTTGTCGAACAGTTTCTGGTTCACAATCGGAACACTCATGCAACAGGGAAGCGACCTTAATCCCAAGGTAAGACAATAACGTTTGAATTTCGATTCTGCATTTACAAAACCAAGCTTCTATTTTCTTCCGTATACAATCGACAGTAGAATTCGTTTACCCTTTCTATTTATTTTTTTTTTACAAATCTTAAGTAATCCGATTTTTTAATGATTATAAAATAGTTTATAACAAAATTTTTATGTAACGTTAACTTAATAATGTCATGCATTTGCCAATTGAAGAAAACAGAATTAATTAAAGACGTTAAAGAGAATAATTTTTTAACCATAAAATATAAACGTAGACTTGATATAGTCACCTGCATCCGTCGCCATCCTCATTTCGCTTTCCGCCATCTAGTCTAGTCATTTCCTGCTTCATATCCTTTCTGCTACACTAATCTACTGAGCTTCCAAATTTCAATATTAAAACGGAAAATGTGAATTTAATACATATATGTAATAGATGTTAGCACCACTATTAACATTTATATTACGCATAATGTCTCTTAAAAATTTTTCTCGTTACTTTTATATGTGTATATGGAACCCTCAATGGTTCGCTATTTTTGAGGATTAGAACAACTACAAATGTGCCAAATTATAATTCAAAATTAAGAAAAATTTCAATACTACAATTAAATGTAAATGTATTTTTGCTAATCGACTCTCACAGACTGAGACAAGTTTCAATAAGGAATAAAAATTATTTCTAATTTTGTGCAAAAGAATATCTAATATAATCGAAAACTTGTCTTGGCATATATTAAATACAAAGGATATATTATTAGAATTATATTTATGTAATATTTTGACTAAAAATTATATTCTAATGATGTAACTGCAAAATGAAGTTAAAATGGAATATTGTCCGAACGTAAGATAATTAACTGAAAACTAATAATGTCACGAACGTGCATGAAATTCTGTGACAGGGAATTCATTTACAAATAATAATCTGATTGTAATGCAAAAATAGATAATTCTGAAATCTTTGTAACTTATTTTCATAATTACAATTAAATTGTACAGGGTGTCTACTGATCCTTGAAGTCCTGGAATTTGAAAAAATGTCCTGAAATGTCCTTAAATGGTCTGGGTTTTGAACTTTTGTTCTTGAATTTTCCATATTTTGGTTTTCAATATTCAATAATTTAAAAATTTTACTCAAATTTTAAAAAAAATAATTTTTTGATCCATCAAAAAATAATATAAATTTTTCATTTGATTAAAGAAACTGGTATCTAAAATATTAATTTTTAACTCTTTTTATAATAAAATAAATATTTTTGTTCAAGTAGGTTAATTTAAATTATGTTAATCGTAATATGAAATAATATTATACACAGGGTTGCCATAAAATTTTATTTTTGTTTTTCCCTGATTTCCAGAATTTTCACTTCTTCCCTGACCCTGAAGAAAATTAATAACTTCTTTTTTAAATAAATATTTAATCATTATTATTTTTCTATAGGAATTGAGATTCTCAAATTCAATAACTTATAAGAATATTGTTATAATAAAACATATCGATCACTCCGAGTCTTCGACTCGGAGTGATCGTTTTCCTCATGTTTTATAATAAATTTAAGATGACAAAGTAATAAAATCATTATTTTATTTCATAAAAATATTGTAACTAAAAATTCAAATTTTCAAAGATTTTAATTTTAACCCTTCCCAAAATTAAATTATTTCTAAAAATTCACGCTATAATGTTTTTAATATTAAATTATAATTTAAAATTATAAGTGAAATTAATTTTTTAATCAATTTTTATTAGAGAATTTCCCGAGAATTCAATTATTTAAATATAAAAATAAATAATAATTTATTCAGTAATTGCATGTTTTTTAAAATTGAATTTTTATGAAGAATTTTATCAAAATTTTTATTAACAATTGAATTCTTTCGACGAATTTAAAAAAAAAATTGTAAAAATAAATAGAATTTTCTCTCATTTTATTTAAAATTTTTTAAAAATAATTGAAATTTTGCGATAAGTATTGTTATTTATGAAAATAGTTATTTTCATAAATAATTCTTGCAACGAATTTTATTAAAAATTTTTTTAAAGAATTGAATTCTTGTGAATAACTTTATTTGTAAAAATAATTGAATACCAGAGAAAAATATTATTATTTATGAAAATAATTAATTTCTTGTGAAGAATTTTATTTAAACTTTTTTAAATAAATTGATTTTTTCAGAATTTTAAAAAACTTTTTAAAAATAATTAAATTCTATCTAGAAATTTTAATTAAAAAATTGAAACTAATTGAAATCTGACAAAGAATTTAAAAAAAAAATTTTTAAGTAATTGAATTACTGTGAAAATGTTTATGTTTAAAAAATTGAATTCTTGGGAAGAATTTTATATTTTTTATAAAAATAATTGAATTGGTTCGAAGAGTTTTACAAACATTTTTGACAATAATTGTATTTCTAGAAAAAATTTTGTATTTTACGAAAATAATTGTATTCTATGACCGATTTTAATATAATTTTTCAAATTTATAAAGCATTTTATCAAAATTTTTAAAAATAATTAAATTCTCAAGAAAGAAAATAATTGATTTCTAGCGAAGAATTTTATTCAAATTTTTTTAAATAATTGAATTCCCATAAAAAGTGTATTATTTGTGAAAATAATTGAATTCTTAAGAAGAAATGTATTGAAAACAATTGAATTGTATAGGGAAATTTTATTAAAATTCCAATTTAATGAACTAAATCTTGCAAAGAATTTTGTCAACATTTTTTTAAATAATAGAATTATTAAAAGAATTTTATTTAAATTTTTCGAAATAATTTAATTTCTCAGACTACTTTTTTCAATTTTTTTAATATATTTGAATTTTTTCGAGAAACTTCATTAAAAAATTAAAAATAATTGAATTGATGTGAAGAAATTTATAAAAGAAATTGGTAAATAATTAAATTCCTGCTAAATTTTTATTAAAATTTTGTTTAAAATTTTAAATAATAGAATTCTTTTAGAAAATTTTATTAAAATAGTAGATATCAAAAATAATTGAAATGAGAAAAATTTTTTTAAATAATTGAAATTTTGCCAAGAATTTTATTAAATTTATTTGAAAATAATTGAATTTTGGAGAAGAATTTTATTATTTATGAAGATAATTGAAATTTTGACGAGAATTTAAAATAATTTTTGAACATAATTGAATTTATGCGAAGTTATTTAAAAGTTATTTAAAAAGAAATTATTGTCAAAAATAGAAAAAATTGAAGGGTTTGTATTAGAATTCTTGGCAATTTCATAGTTCATAAGGCAAACTAAAAAAACCAAAATTCAGAATTTTCCTATTAATTCTAAAAATTTAATTTTTTCCAGTACTTTTAGTAAAAATCCCTGACTTTTCCTTGAATTCCTTGACTTTCCTGACTTGTGGCAACTCTGTTACACATATAAATGTCCTGGAAAAGTAAAAAATCTGTTCTGGAATGTCCTGAAAATGTCCTGGAATTTTAAATCATATTTTCAGTAGAGGATTTTAAATTTTGACGTCATATAATTTTCCCCTGTTAATTAATGGTTTAAAACAGTAATAATAATTATCGATTGACATTATAAAATTTTTAAAAATATTTTATTTGTAGGCAACTAGTACCCGCATTGTGAGTGGAATTTGGTGGTTTTTCACACTCATTATTATTTCTTCATACACGGCCAATCTTGCAGCATTTCTGACTGTTGAGAGGATGATAACTCCAATAGAAAATGCAGAAGATTTGGCAAGTCAGACAGATATTTCATATGGAACTTTGGACAGTGGCAGTACAATGACCTTTTTTCGGGTAATTATCAAGTTTATTATAAATTAAATTTTGTTATGTAGAAAAATTATATGTTAAATTATATCTCAGTAGTAAAAGACAATAATATCATAATTAAAATTATTATAGAATTCAATTTTGAAATAATTTTACCATTTTCATAGTTTTTTTAATAATTTTAACATGATATTGGAAAATTTTGCAGGACTCCATGATTGAGACTTACAAAAAAATGTGGAGGTTTATGGAGAATAAAAAGCCATCGGTATTTGTACCAACTTATGAAGAAGGTATTCAAAGAGTCCTTCAGGGACAATACGCTTTTCTCATGGAATCAACTATGTTGGATTATATAGTTCAGAGAGACTGCAATCTCACACAAATTGGAGGACTTCTGGACAGTAAAGGATATGGAATTGCTACGCCAATGGGTAAAACTTTAAATTTAATTTCCAAAGTTTATAGTTATAAATTTTGAATATTATAAACTTGCTTAGTTCTATTGTTAACAATGAAAATTTGTTTTTTTGATGATAATAATGATTCGTTTTTTTTACATTTCGTTCAAATTCATGTTAAAAGTATTTTGATAAAAAGAACTTTGCATGCTAAAAGTTTAGAAATGAAACAAGTTTTATAAAATGTAAATATAGCCTTCTCTTTTAAAATTTCGCAGGGTCTCCGTGGCGCGATAAAATATCCTTAGCTATTTTAGAACTACAAGAAAAAGGGGAAACTCAGGCACTTTATGATCATTGGTGGAAAAGTAAAGGCGAGACTTGCATGAGAACTGACAAAGGAAAAGAAAGCAAGGCCAATGCTTTAGGAGTTGATAACATAGGTAAAAAAAATTCTTTCATCAAAAAATAAGTGAAAAGTTTTAAATTCAAGAAAAATAAGTATACCAACCAGGCTTGCCAAACATTTAATATTTTTTAAGATCTTCAAATATTAATCAAGTTTTTTTCACTCTCAAAAAATTGCTATAATTTATAATTTGATTGATTGAGCTGGAAAAATCTCTGACAAAAAATTCCACGCAGAAGACATTGAATTAGTCAATGAAATCTTATTAAAAAACAAATTAAGGGGAAACTAAGTTCCTCCTTATAACCCAGCAGTCAATAAAGTGCCTATTATTGCCCTAGGGCAATAAAGTGTACCTTATTGACCGCTCGCATTAAAATTTCCATATTTTAAAATTTGATTTAAAAAATATTTTTTTTTTAAATAAAGGAGGAGTTTTTGTGGTTCTTCTCTGCGGATTAGCTTTTGCTGTGCTAATAGCAATCTTCGAGTTTTGTTACAATTCTAAAAAGAACGCACCACCAGAACAGGTGAAGACTTAAAAATTATAATAGATAATAGATTATAATAGATTTATTATAATATAGAGAACAACTAATCGTTTGTTTTCAATACCTGAAAAATTTAGAAATATTTAATTTTGCTCGTATTACTCATTTTTTTGCATGTATTTATAGCATGAACTTATAACACATTGAAGACATTATTAGTCATCTGTGTCTCATGACGGACTAGAAAAGAAATAAAAGGTACGTTTTTGCATTTTTTTTCAATACAGGAAACGAACACCAAAGACACATCACTTGATGGCTGGCACATATGATACAACACACTTACAGGAAACTTTACAATTACTTTTTAACAATTTACAAAACTCTTAATACATTTAGTTGCATTTATCACTAGTGCAGGGCTCGAAGCAGTGAAAGTATTTAAAAATAGGGGCTTTACGGACCAAAAATTAAAAATTACGGACCAACTGACAAAAATAGAATCAGGCCGAAGCAAATTAGAGAACATTTTACTTAAAACTAGAAATTCAATTTTTAATAACTATAAAACATGAAGAAATCGATAACTCCGAGTCTTCGACTCGAAGTCATCGATTTCTTCGTTATAATAATTAATAATAATTATTAATAAAAATAATTCATAATAATTAAAATCATTATCAACTCAATTATTATTTTTAAGAATTTTTATCTAAAATTCTTCTTTATATCGATTATTTTTAATAGCTTTTGAAAAAGTTCTTTGACAATTTTTAAATTCATTTCTTTACAATATTCAATTTTACGAAATATCAACTATTCGTAAATTCTTTAATTAAATAAATATTAGAAAATAGAAAGTAAAAATAATATAAAAAGAACTCAATTAAACTTTTTCAAAAAAATTAATTACAAAATTCAATTATTTTTTAAAATTCACGCTCTATTGCATTTAATATTCAATTATTATCTAAAATTTTAACTGAAATTCATTTTTATGAAATGAAAATCAATTTTTATTAGAAAATTCTTCTGGAATTCAATTATTTAAGTACAAATAAAATGCAAATAAATAATTTATTGAATAATTGAACGTTTCTTAAAATTCAATTCCCATAAAAAAATCGTTATCAACAAATTTTCAAATAATTGAATTCTATCAACGAATTTTAATAAAATTTTTAAGAATAATTACATTTTTCGAGAAATTCGATTAAAATTGTATTAAAAATAATTGAAATTCTGTATTCAATTTTATTATTTATGAAAATAATTGAATTCTTGCGAAGAATTTTATTAAAATTTTCAAATATAATTAAATTCTGTTAAAAAATTAACAGGAATTCAATTATTGTTAAAAATTTTAATAAAATTCTTGGCATAAATTAAAAATAACAAAATTCTTAGCAGATATTCAATTACTTACAAAAATTTTAATAAAATTTTTCGCAAGAATTTAAATATTTTCCTAAAATAATAAAAATCTTTGCAGAGATTCAATTATTTTCAAAAGTCTTAATAAAATTCTTCGCAAGAATTCAATTATTTTCAAAAATATCAGAGTTTTAGCAGAAATTCAAACATTTTAAAAAGTTTTGATAAAACTTTTTTTTGGTAAAAATTCAATTATTTTTAAGACAATTTTAAAAAAATGTCTCGATAAAATTCAATTATTTTTAAAATTTTAATGAAATTCTTCGAAAGAATTTAATTATTATAATCTAAGATTTCAACTGAAATCTATTTTTAAATCAATGTTTATGAGAAAATTCTACCAGAATTCAATTATTGAAACACAAAAATAAATAATTTATTAAATAATTGAATGTTTCTTGGAATTCAATTCCTATTAAAAATTTTATCAATCAATTTTTAAATAACTAAATTCTTTGGACGAATTTTAATAAAATTTTTAAGAATTTTTTCGAGGAATTCGATTAAAATTGTATTGAAAATAATTGAATTCCTAAAAAGAATTTTATTATTTACGAAAATAATTGAATTCCTGTAAAAATTTTATTATTTATGAAAATAGTTGAATGATTGCGAAAAAATTTATAAAAAAAATTTGTTATTAATGAAATTCTTGTGAAATTTTAATTATTTTTTGAAAATAATTAAAAGTTTTTGTAGAATTTTATTACATTTTTTTTTTTAAATAATTAAATTCTTTTGGTAAATTTTATGAAAATAGTAGATATTGAACAATATTTAATTTTTGCGAAGAATATTATTACTTTTGAAAATAACTGAAATTTTGCAATAGATTTTATTAAAATTTTTGAAAATAATTGAATTTTATTACTTTAGAAAATAATTGAATTCGTGTGATAAATATTGTTAATTATGAAAATAATTGAAATTTTTTAATGAATTTTATTAAAATTTTTGAAAATAATTGAATTTGGTGAAGAATTTTGCTATTTATTTATAAAGATAATTGAGATATTGACCTTTTTTTTTGATTTTTTAAAAATAATTGAATTTCGGAGAAGAATTTTAATATTTCTAAAAATAATTGAAATTTTGACGAGAATTGTTAAAAATTTTTGAACATAATTGAATTTCTGCGAAGAATTTTATTACTTTTGAAAATAATTGAAATTTTGCAAATGAATTTTATTAAAATTTTTTAAAATAATTGAATTTTATTACTTTAGAAAATAATTGAATTCGTGTGATAAATATTGTTAATTATGAAAATAATTGAATTTTTGCGAAGAATTTTATTAGGGGAGAGTGGGGCAAAATGGGGTACCTTTTTGAAATTGGCTGTTTACAGAGAACCAAACGAATAAATCGATTCAGCTAAACTTCAGAATTCTTCTTTGTACACTTAGCTTTGAGGAAATTATGATTATAGCGGAGAAAAAAATTTTTGAAAGAACTTATATCGTATTTTCTAAGAAAGTGCTAAAATCCCATTTTGCCCCACCCGTGGGGCAAAATGGGGTGGCATCAAATAACTATACAAAACATTGAGTATTTTTTCAAAATTCATTCAATTCTTGTTGTATGAGATTATAAATACAAACAAAAAGTAGGATTCTTTATTACTATGAAAAAACAAGTAATATTAATTAGAATTTAACAAAAAAAACATGGATATTGCAAAATATCGATACATCGATAATGAAACATCGATAGTATAAATGCCTCAAAGCAAAAATATCGATTCTTCTGCAGGAAACCTTTAAATATGCATAATTTAATGTTTTTAAATAGTTTTAATGAAACGGCGTAGCTTCCGGCATGCCCCACACTTAGGTACCCCATTCTGCCCCACACTGCATATTAAAACAAAATGCAATGTTTACAAGTTATTGTAAACAATTAAACAATCTATTCTATTGGAAATTACTCTAGAATAAGTACTGAAAAAGATACCACACTTGCCAAATTAAATGCATTATCCCAAAAAGTTTGGAGAGCACTTTAATTTTGAAAAAAATTCATATTTTTTTTGCTTAAAACTTAAAAGTTGTATAACTTTCAAAAAGAAAATTTCTTTGGGGTGTCTTCATAATTAATAACAGTTTCTTATCAACATGAATGATATATGTCGAGGATAAAAAAATTAAAAGTACCTATCATGGAAAAACAGAGGTACCCCATTTGACCCGCCTACCCCATTTTGCCCCACTCTCCCCTACTTTTAAAAATAATTGAGTTTCTTCAATCATTAGTAATTTCTCTAAAATTGTCAATATTATATCGTACAATTTACCAACTTTTCATCCTTTTTGAATAAAATTACAGACTTTACGGACCTTTTTTCAAAAAAACGGACTTTTACGGACTTGAAGCAAAGTTACGGACTTTTTCAGGATTTACGGACCTACTTCGAGCCCTGCTTGTGAAAGACAAATTAACGTTTTACTCATATTAAAATTATTACTTGCAAATTCCACTAGTTTTCGAATTTATTCTTCTTCATGGATACCAATTTGGAAATGTGTTTTTATACGACACTGTCTTTACTCGCTAACAATCTTATGTCATTATCTTTATTATGCTGTTCTTTTTTTTCTTATATATTTTTTATAATTTATTGAATTGTTTGTCAATATCTCAAAAATGCATTTTTGGAAATACTTTTAATGGTCATTTTCGTTTTTAGCTACGCTAAATTAGCCTAAATAACAAATTTCCAAAATGACACCTGAAGAACATGAAGAAAAAAAATTGTAAACTAGTGTTATTGTTACGATTCATTTGCGGCATGTATAATAAAATTAATAAATTTAAAAAACTTTGTCACAGCAACATTTGCCAGCACCACCCCCTACGTGCTCGGGTTCCTTACAAGGTCTACCTCAAAATGTGCAACAGCAACCGCAAAGTCACCATCAACAAGAATCACTTTGTGCGGAAATGGCACGTGAATTATGTCGCGCTCTGCGTTGTCGCGCACCTTCTCGCAGAAGAAAAGCCTGCGAGAAATGTTCAACTCATGTCATAAGTTATCATCATTCAGACAATCCTACACCGACTCCCATAAATGGGATTAGAACTCAGGTAAGTTTATCAAAAATTCTAAAGTTTCATTTCAAATATAAAACTGCTCTTTTTATTTCTCACTGAAATTTATAATCATTTCTTTAAAGAAATTTATTTTCAAAAATTTACTTATAGTTCTTTAGGTTTATGAAATTGTATCAGTAAATTTGAAGTTTTAATAAATAATTTTAAAAAATTCTTTTTACAGACAACCGACTTAGGAGTTCCGGTAGAACTGTCGCCACATATACATATGCATCATCATCATCATCATCATCCATCTCAAGACTACGATGGAAATTAGTATCAAGAGAATCCTTTTGTTTTAAAAATGCGCTGCATAATATAAATTATTTCATAAAACGATTTCTAGCACATTTAAAAAAAAAATGCCTGAAAGTAATTTATCTAAAATATTTAATTTTAATGCACAGTTAGTCAGATAGTCTACAAGTCATTTAATACAAAGCCTAGTTAATTGCGATTTCGATCCGTCCTTTTTAAAGAGAAACAAATCATTTGTGGTACAAGTACAATTGAGTTATACATTATACGTAATAAAAAGGGCTTTAAAATGCCACTTCAGTAATTTGCTCATTAAAAAAAAAAGTATACGTAATTAGAAATTTTGTTCTTTATTCATCAAATTCGCAATCATGAAAATTTTTTTTAATTTGATAATTTCTTACACTAAAAATTAGAATTGAGCTAAAAATATTAAATGTACCGTAAATTTTTGAAATTAAACCAGTGGTTTTAGAAGTTTTGTCGAGTTTGTTTAAAACAAAAATTTTGAAAAATTATACTATTCCAATAATATTACCAATGGCTCGTAATATAAAAAAGGGAACTTAAAAGTTTGCTTAAAATTTGATAAAATGTTATCGTCATTTGTAGTTCAAGTTAAATTACGCTCAATCATCATTAATTTAAAAAACATGTCTCTTAATTTTAACTCGCACTAAACAGAAATAAAGCGTTGTAAATATCTAGTATAAGGAAAGTATAGGTATTAATATTGATGCAAATCTGATATTGAGGCTTCGAAAACAAATTAAACCAGGCATATAACATTTTTTCGACTTTAATAAATTTAAGCACAGGGATTTAATTTAACAGTTGTAATAAAATTCATATCAGATGCTTTAAGCCCTCGCATGTTTTGTATTTAAAATCACATACATAACTGATGATCTTAATTGTTCTCCGATAATACAAAAAGGCCTGTAAACTGATTATTAAAAAGTACGAAGTTTGATGTTTAAAGTTATTTTAAGTATGTATCTTGTGAACGTTAATTCTGAATAAATGTGAAAAACTTAATTCTCTTTCAGTTATAGAGAGCAATAGCTCTTCATTTATTTATTCACTTTTTGTTTAACATTTTACAAGTAAACATTAGTAAGAAAAATTAATTAATGTTTAAAGAACAATGTTCCAAGCCATTATCACAACATTCCAATTTCTCCTTAATTGGAACTACATTTTTTATTGACTCCTGATATTTATTAAATTCACACATTGAGGAGCAATTCGGTATTTCTAAAATTTCCACCTTTTTTGTATCTCCATGATAATACAGAATCTATGAAAAGAGAATATTTGTTTTGTAAATAATTCAAATTGACATAAGGATACAATGCAAGAACGGAATTTTTTAAAAGTTCTAGACATACCTAAATATAATATCAAAGGAGAAGAAGTGTCTTATGATTTGTTAATTTATACTTTATGTACCTGTACGTAATAGTTGTTTTTTTCATCACTATACATTTCTAAGATTACTGCACTACAATAGAAGGGACGTTTAAATTCTGTTACACCAAGAGCATAGATAAGTGCATTCACATTAAAATCATGAGCACTGTAAAATTTAATTTTTGTTCCTTGTTTCAACATTCCGATCTGTTTGGCTACCATATCACTTGTTATTTGGTTCAAAAGTCGCCCTAAAAATAATAAATTTCTCATTGAAAAAAGAGTGAAGATTAATAGAAAATCTAATGATGTTAGGATTAAAAATTAAAGATCAGGTGTTATAGAATCAAATTTTATGGAAAAATCAAAAGCTCTGAAATACACAAATGTAGCATACTTTAATCAGGGCATCTACTGAAAATATGACTTAAAATTCCAGGACATTTTCAGGACATTAGAACAGATTTCTTATTTAAGTCAGGGATTTTTACTAAAAGTACTGGAAAAAATTAAATTTTTAGAATTTATAAGAAAATTCTGAATTTTGATGTTTTTTTTTTGTTTGCCTTATAAACTATGAAATTGCCAAAAATTCTAATACAAACCCTTCAATTTTTTCTATTTTTGACAATAATTTCTTTTTAAATAACTTTTAAAGAACTTCGCATGAATTCAATTATGTTCAAAAATTATTTTAAATTCTCGTCAAAATTTCAATTATCTTTATAAATAATAAAATTCCTCTCCAAAATTCAATTATTTTCAAAAAAATTTAATAAAATTATTGGTAAAATTTCAATTATTTTTAAAAATTTTCCTCATTTCAATTATTTTTATATCTACTATTTTAATAAAATTTTCCAAAAGAATTCTATTATTTAAACAAAATTTGAATAAAAATTTAACAGGAATTCAATTACTTACCAATTTCTTTTAAAAATTTATTCACATCAATTCAATTATTTTTAATTTTTTAATGAAGTTTCTCAAAAGAATTCAAATATATATAAAGAAAATTTAAAAAAAATAGTCTGAGAAATTCAATTATTTCGAAAAATTTAAATAAAATTCTTTTAATAATTTTATTATTTAAAAAAATGTTGACAAAATTCTTTGCAAGATTTAGTTCATTAAATTGCAATTTTAATAAAATTTCCCTATACAATTCAATTGTTTTCAATAAATTTCTTCTTAAGAATTCAATTATTTTCACAAATAATACATTTTTTTTATAGGAATTCAATTATTTAAAAGAATTTGAATAAAATTCTTCGCTAGAAATCAATTATTTTCTTTCTTGAGAATTCAATTATTTTTAAAAATTTTGATAAAATGCTTTATAAATTTGAAAAATTATAATAAAATCTGTCATAGAATACAATTATTTTCGTAAAATACAAAATTTTTTCTAGAAATACAATTATTATTGTCAAAAATGTTTGTAAAACTCTTCGAAACAATTCAATTATTTTCGTAAAAAATAAAATTCTTCTAAGCAATTCAATTATTTAAGAAATTTTAATAAAATTCTTCCCAAGAATTCAATTTTTTTGAAAAATAAACATTTTCACAGGAATTTAAATATTTAAAAAAAAAATTTTTTTTTAATTCTTTGTCAAATTTCAATTATTTTCAATTTTTTTATTGAAATTTCTAGATGGAATTTAATTATTTTTAAAAAGATTTTAAAAATTCTGAAAAATTCAATTATTTAATAAAATTTGAATAAAATTCTTCACAAGAAATTAATTATTTTCATAAATAGGTAATAATATTTTTCTTTGGAATTCAATTATTTTTAAAAATAGAGTTATTCACAGGAATTCAATTCTTTAAAAAAATTTGTTGCAAGAATTCAATTATTTTCATAAATAACAAAACTTATCGCAGAATTTCAATTATTTTTAATACAATTTTAAATAAAATGAGAGAAAATTGCATTTATTCTTACAATTTTTTTTTTTAAATTCGCCGAAACAATTCAATTGTTATTAAAAATTTTGATAAAATTCTTCATAAAAAATTAAAAATTGAATTTTAAAAAACAAGCAAATAGAGAATAAATTATTTATTTTTGTATTTAAATAATTGAATTCTAGGGAAATTTTCTAATAAAAATTGATTAAAAAATGAATTTCACTTAAAATTTTAAATTATAATTGAATATTAAAAACATTATAGCGTGAATTTTTAGAAATAATTGAATTTTGAAAAGGGTTAAAATTAAAATCTTTGAAAATTTGAATTTTTAGTTATTTTTTATGAAATAAAATAATGATTTTATTACTTTGTCATCTTAAATTTCTTCATGTTTTATTATAATAATATTCTCATAAGTTATTGAATTTGAGAATCTCAATTCCTATAGAAAAATAATAATGATTAAATATTTATTTAAAAAACGAAGTTATTAATGTTCTTCAGGGTAAGGGAAAAAGTGAAAATTTTGTCTGGAAATCAGGGAAAAGTCAGGGAAAAACAAAAATAAAATTTTATGGCAACCCTGTGTAATATTATTTCATATTACGATTAACATAATTTAAATTAACCAACTTGAACAAAAGTATTTATTTTATTATAAAAAGAGTTAAAAATCAATATTTTAGATACCAGTTTCTTTAATCAAATGACAAATTGAAATTATTTTTTAATGGATCAAAAAAATTTTTTTTTTTTAAATTTGAGTAAAATTTTTCAATTATTGAATATTGAAAAGCAAAATATGGAAAATTCAAGAGCAAAAGTTCAAAATCCAGGACATTTCCAGAAATTCCAGGACTTCAAGGACCATAGTAAACACCCTGATTTAATGATACATTTTTACTATTTAATGACTTCTTATATGTCTATGATTATAAAGGTGAACAAAATAAATCAAATATAATAAAAATTATAATAGATTAAATAAATAATTTACCTCCATTCAGTTTTTTCAGTGCGTTATTGTAGTTTCTCATTTTTTCTAATACGTCAACAGCCTCCTGGAAATCTTTATTGGCCAATAATGTTTCTTTAGCCCAAATTGGATACGATAAATTCATTGATTCTTGGCAATCAAGTAAATTGAAAAAATTAAATATTTCAGAAGGACTATTAACATTCTTTCCCGTCAATTTTGTTAGATTTGTTGCAAGCGGTTCATATTTTACAAACAATTGTTTTACTTCGTCTAATTTTTCTATTTCTTCGAACATTTTCATGAATCTTAAAAAGAAGAAATGAAGTGTATTAACGTAAAAAAATTTTAATTTAAATTATTGTTTAAATGTGATTTTAAAACTGTGCATGTACTTGGGACATTTTCTGGCAAATAGTAAGACATCATCATCAGCTTTTTCATACGTTATTGGTATGGGCTGCCAATTTAAAGTCGGTTCCCATTTCTGAAGCGCATCTGGAGGATACAAAGCAGCTAGAACAAGAAGTAGGGTCATCTGTGCCCTATCTATTTGTGTACTTCTAGCATAAATATCTTCAGGAATATAAGTGGTACCCAAAAATTGATTATATCTTCTCCTCAAAAAAGTACCTAATTCAAAGGCTCTTAATTTGCCCTTCTATAAATTTATAAATACTGTGTTTAATTAAAGTCAACGCTATAAATTATCTTATAATTAAAATTTTAAAAACTATAGTGAAATAAGTGTAAACATATTTGAATTAAAATAAAGGTAAAATGAAATATAAATTACATTTGTTAAAGCCCCATATCCCATAGGAAAGTATGTCTCATTTGCAAATGGATCTTTCGGGTACGTCTCATAATAAAATGGATGTGGTGTACGATCTCCATGTCTAAATAGCTGCAGAAAAAAATTTCAAACAATTTTTTGGCATTTGTTGTACAAATATTTTCAGCAATCAAAATTATTTTTATTTTAAAGTTTTTCAGGAAAGAAAAATAAATTTAGATTTTAGAGTATAGTAAAATTACTGATGTAAGATCACACCTGCACCCTATAAAAATTTTTAATATTTTTGCATTTTAAAATTTACAATATGAAAGTTTCAATAGCTATAAACTCGTGACTGTAAGGTGCTTAAAATTCGAAATTATAAAAAAAAGTCGTGTATTATTTTATGTCGTACCCACGGAGCATATAATAATGTCTAATAGTAATATATCGTTTCATTATCTTTATTACTTTTAATATTTGTTAAATTCGAATTTTAGGCCGGTTCCTATTTGAAAATTGTTTCCTTTTTTCTAGATTTTAATAAATTGTTAAGAAGAATTGAATAGTTTTATTAAAAAAAAAAACTTTTAAAAGAGGATAAACGGATTTTTAAATAAAAGCAAGTTCCCTATGGACTTGAAAGCTTGGTGCCTTCCAAACCATAAAAAATAGAATACATCGAAAGTCGACTCTGGTCAAAATATAATTGAATGACTACAATTTAAAAAGCAAATGTTAGGAAATCTATGTAGAAGTCATTTTCTCAAAAAAATAATAAAAAAAAACCTATAAATATCAATATTGATGAAATAATTAATAAGAATTCGTTTATGTTTTCGCCAATGATAATAAAAAAGATTAAAAAGAATCGATTTACTAAAAATAAAAATTTTAAATTAGTGACGAAATATTAAGATATTAATCATTTGAGTAAGTAAAATTTTATTTTGATCTCACTTACAGCATTGACCATCTTCAGTTCAAAATTCTTTGGAAGAGCAAAACTGTCCGATAATTCTTCACATGAAATGCATATTGCAATTAATAGCAATCCCCAAGAAATAAAATATAATTTCATTTTACTCAATTAAAATTTTATTAATTGGGAAATGAAACAGTTTTTTTTTTTACTTTAAAAATTGGATTTTTATTAAATTTTCTAATAATAGAAAGCACAACGCCAAGTTTCCAAGAAGACAATAACGTTTAGTATGAGATAAATTTTTTTGCATTGTCCACACGATATTTTTATTTTATCAGCAAAAAATTAATACATTTTTTAACTATTCAGAGAAACAAATATTTTTTCCACTTTTTACCAATAAGAATTTTATTTTTTTGAAAATAGATATACGAAATTTGATATTTAAGAGCACGAACTCCAATGTCATTTTAAGGTCGACTGTGAATAACAATACAGTTTATTAGATTTAACATATTTTTAAATTAAAAAAACTTCGGCCAAGCTTTAAAATTCATTAGTGAAGATAACTGTAATCTGGCACGAGAAACTTTGCCTTTATGGATCTTTCAATATTTTTTTATTAAATTTTGCAAAATTTTACAGAAACTAAAAATACAACGAATAAAATTTAATTTTTCTAAATTGAAAAATTTAAAATAAAATTTATATTGATTTCTTACCTTAGGCAAGGAAAGTAATTTTCACCTCATCCAACAAAGAATTTTTAATTTTTCAACTAAATATCAAATTTCCAATTGGCAGAAATTAAATAATCGTGAAATTTCGAAACGCTGCGATTTTTAGAATTTTGAAATTCATATTATAAATATGAAAAACGAAATAAAAAAATTATTTTTCTTTCCTTAAAGACAATATGAATTTAAGCATAATCAGGGTGTCTAGTATTTTCGTAATTTTGTTCAACAAAATTCCCGGTTTTTTTTCTCATCAAATTTAAATTTAATTTTGATTTCGAACATAAATAAATCTTTAAATTTTTTGAAAATGTTTTTTTTCAATAATTTTAATTGTAAACTTGGAAAATAATTGAATTAAAAAAAAAGAATTTTTTCAATTTTTTAAAAATAATCTTGTCTCTTTATAATTTTCATTGAAAACTTAATTTTTTAATTTTATTAAAATTATATTGATATTAATTGAATTTCTCCAAAGAATTTTACTATTTATAAAAATAATTGAATCCTTCCAAAGAATGCTATTATTTATGAAAATAATTTAATTCTTTTATTTATTTATTTATTAATATAATAAATAATTATTATAATTCTTGTGAAGAATTTTATTAAAACTTTTGAAAATAATAAGCATTAATAATTAATTATTTACTTAATAAGTCATGCTCAAGAAATTGCTCAAGAAATAAAAATTATCATTTATTTGAACATTCAGAAGTTTGAAATTATAAAAATTTAAGAGAAGTCCAATAATATTTTTAGAAGCAAAAAATTGATTTAAAACTGTAAGAGGGACTTTAAATTTTTAAAATAAAATTATAATTACAGTCACTAACTTTCCTTGATTATTTTCGAATAATTTAAATAAAATTCTTTAAAAGAATTCAATTATTTTTCATAAAATGTAAAGAAATTTCAATTATTTGTTTAGAAAAATTCTATTATCTTGAAAAAATAGAATTGAAAAATTATAACAATCTTATTTTTCAGATTTAAAAAAAAAAAATTTGCGAAAGTTCAATTTTATTAAACAATTTTAATTATGTATATTTTTTTTAAATTAACTAATATAGAAATTTTAATTCGCCCTTAGAAATATGAATACATTAGAATATGACTCTTTATAAAATTCAATTATTAATCAATTATTAATTTAAAATACTTTGAAAATTCTATTCGTTAAAAAGTTTCTAATCAAATTCTTTAACAAATTTAATTACATATTTTCAGTAGTCGAATTTCACAATATTTCTATTAACTATATAATTTTTTTTAAATTTATTTACATAATATGTTTGAATTGGTGACTGAGTTTTTACTATCAAATTAATTATTTTCAACTAATTTAAATTTAGAGAACAGTATAAATATTTATATAAATTGAAATAAAAAGTTATTTTTTAAAAACCTCTTCAGATTATTTCAAATCAAATCGACCTAAAAGTTTTTACAGATTATAGAAAAGAAAATATAAAAAATAAAATACATAAGAATTTTGTTTGTCAAGACATAATAATTTGCCTCATTATATAATATATTATAATATATTTATTATATTTCTAAAATTTGTTAAAAAAAGGTTTTCAAAATCAAAAATTCAAAAATTTTGTATAACATCATTTATTAAGGGATAAAATAAATGACAAATAACATATCACTTATTATATGAAACTATAACATTTCTTAGTATTCATTATTCGTTACGATATAAAAGAAATCACATCACATACGACCCTTCTTTTTTTTTACTATAATAAGTCTCACTACTCCAATTATTTGAAACAAATCTATCCTTAAAGTATCGAGATCAAATTGTTTTTAATTTTTTAAAATTATAAAACACAAAGAAAAAGAATTCTAATACTAATAACAATAATATGTTAATTATATTATGGCAATAATAAGAAAAGTTAATGTTTTTTTTTAATTCTAATATAGTAAAAAATATCAAATTCAAAAATTTAACGAAGATATCCGATTGGAATGCTAATTGATTGAAATAATAAATTAAATCTAGATGAAAATTAAGATACATTAGGAAGTTTGTTCGAGAGAAATCAGAGTATGTTTGACCTGAACATTTCATTATCAGATATTTTCGTCGAACGTTAACTCAGAAGGGCCAAGTCAAATCACTTGAATTATCACACGATCATTCTTGATGCGGTGGCATATATAGATAGATTATTTATGTTTTTTTTGTGACTGTTGGAGGTGGACAACTGATAGAGGATGACAATCAATTGATAGTCGCAATAAATTGAAAATATCGTAGTACAAAGCGAAATATTGATTGATTCACTATAAAGTACTGTTGTCCATCTTCATATTATTTATTTATTTATTTTCTTGACTATTTTTTATTCGAGGCGCCAGCTCGATTAAACAAAAAAAAAATAATTTTTTTTCTCCTCTCGCCTCACAGCATTGTCAGTTATTTTTATGATTTTCCAGTAAAGAAAAAACAAAGAAACAAAGTCATAAAACACGTAAACTCGGGTGTGACCAAGTGCTAATTATTTGTTTTTTTTTATATAGAAAATACACAGATAACTCTTTCACTTTATAAAACGTCAATTTACGACCACACGAATACTTGATATATATCTTTTTCTTTTCTTTTTTCAAAGGAATAAAAGTAATCTCAATGATTACGAAATATTCTCAAAACATTCCTTTTTTTTCAATCTCATATTTCCTTCCTTTCTTTCTCAATTAAAATTTCTTTTTTTTTTTTTACAATAAATTACAATAAATTGAAATTATATTTCAACATTTCTCGCGAATATTACAATTAAAATCACAGGAGCGAAAAACTGAAAAATTTCTCTCCGAGTCACGATATTTACAAAAATCTCATTATGTTTTTTTGTTTCTTCACAGACAAAGCAACTAAAAAAATAACAATATATAGCCATATTTAGAAAGTCTTAAAGATTAATCTTAAAAAAATACTCGCAGTTCCAGAAAACTTTCTTTGCGCTCTACAACGTCCTTTGCACCGACGCAAATTGTCCATTTTTTGTTTATTACTTTTTTTGTCAGGTTTACGCTTCCATTTTTTTTTTCTTTGTGGAAAGCGAAACAAGCATTGTGTGCAATTTGAAGAAATTGTAAAAATCATAAAACTACATGTGTTACATTACTAAATAAATATTTCGTCCTTTTCTCTGATTGCTTTCGCATGTCAGTTAATGAAAAAAAAAAAAAAAATGAAAAAAAATCACCATTCACGTGCTTTTTTTTGCATCATCCCTCGACATTCGCACTCTAACTGAGATCGCTGCGCGGAGAAAGTGCGAGGACTCATTTACTTAATAGAGAAAATTATTTTTCAATTGAGTAGTCGCAACAATTCCGTCTTTGTAACTTAAAAATTATCGCCTGCGAAATCTCCGCAGGTTTTAGCAGAGTAACAATGAGGGACGATGGCACGATTTATAAAAATTATATCAGCGATAAAAAACTAATTTTAATAAAAGAGCGCAAAAATATTCACAGAAGAAAATTAAAGAGGAAAAAAAAATACTTTTCTCTTTTTTTTCCTCTTTTCTTTTCTCGTATTCCTAATCAACAGCATGCTTTTTTTTATCATTTCTCTTGCTAAACATCTCTTTGTACATTCATTTACAAGTACGCAAAACAAAAATTTTTTACTCAACATCTCAATATTGTAAAATTTTGATATATCAGTTCAAATCCACGTTTTCTGATTACAAATTCGAAGATACATTTATCTGAAAAAAACTTCTATTTTCTTTACTTAAAGATAAATTATTCTTATCGTCAGATGGTCACTGTCAAGAAGACAAAATTCTACACAAATAGAAATTTAGATTTCAAATTCATTTCTATAAGAAGATACGTTTTATGTTAACTTTTGAGAAGACTTTCATATTTAATAATTAATGCCTTCTATCATATGATAAAATCATTCAAAAAAAAAATGTGATTAATGAATATTTACTGAACATTGATGCTCTACTTTTTAATTATCTAACTATGATAATTACGAAGACACTTACAATCGTGATTCTATGAAAAATCGAGAGTTCATTTGTAAAAAAAAAACAATAAAATTCTTTTGTTCAACAAATTTTTTCTTTACGAAAAATAAACAAATTATTAAAAACCATTAGGTTAGGAAGGATAAACTGTTAAATATTTAAAATTATAATCTAAAAATTTTTAATTAAAAATCCAATATAAATCGAAATTTGACAATTTCAATTTGAAACAAAAATTTCCATTTAAATTTGAAAATGTGTTTTGGATTCACATATTTAAAAATTATTTTTCTACAATAGATTTAATACAAATCAATTTGAAAGTAATCACAATTCAACGAAATTGAGATAAAAATGTGTTGTAATAAAAAAAACTATGTACAACTGGTTCCCTTTGGCTCATTGAGCACTTGAAAAAGTGGATATGTCTCGAAAAAAGCAAAGTTTTCGTAAATAATAATAAAAATTTAGAATTTTTGAAAAAAACTTTGCTATTTAATGACAATTTTTTTAAATATAAAAATTGCTAAAAAGAAAACACATTTTGTTTTCGAAAATTCGTAAAAAGAATTCTTTAAACAAAAAAAAAAGAAAAATACTATCATAAATGAACCCTGTCAATTAAAAAATGAAAAGAATACAGTGGAAGCAAAATCAATGTCTAATTTCTAAGTATTTTCACAATAAAAAAAGAAAAAAAAACGTCTATTATGAAAAAATTGGAATTTAGAAAAATTCCATTGCAAAAAAAAATCTGCATAAAAGAAAAAAAAATTAACAAAAAAAAGGGCGCAATAAAATGTGTTTTTTTCAAAATAGATAGAAAGCTGAATGTAATATTTCGCGCTGCATTTCAAAATTTTCAAAACCTCGAGTGTCTTAAATATTTTTATTCACATTTATAATTGTAAATATCTTTTTTTTCTTTTATGAAATACAGCTCTCCTCTATATATATTTTTTTCTTTCATTTCTTGCTGAAAGTTCTATAAAATTTACAAACTGAATCACATCCAAGTTTCAGAAAAGAAAAAAAAATCGTAAGACTCGTAATAACATGCTGTTGCTATATTTTTTTTTCTTTCTCTTAAAAATTAGCTCATTTACTTTTCGAGTCTTACAAACAAAAATTATCCTCTCTCTTCTCTCTCTCTCTCGAATCTCGCCAAATCGCATGCGAGAAAAGAATTGACAAAATCGATTTTACTCGATTATTGTCTCAACAATAACGAAGAAAAAAACAAGAATAATAAAATTAGGTCATATATCGCATCACAGCTCGCAAGGCATACAATAATTCTGCTTGCATTCGAGCTTCCAGAATCATTAAATTCACATGAACCTGAAACAAAAATTTTCATATTTTTAAAAATCAAATTATTTTTCCAAATTTATTACATTTAAATTCTAACCATTTTTTCTATACAAAGCAAATCAATTTGTAAAAATTTCCATTCGAAAAAATATACTTATAAATAAAAATTGCTGAAAACTGTTAAATTCACTTGTTTATTTATTGTGAAAATTACAGAATTTTTTATTTTCAAATATGAATTTTTGAATAATTTCAGGTACAAACTTAAATTAAATTATTAACTAATTTACTTATTAATTATTCTTGTTTATTAATTTCAAACGTTTTGATAAAATTCTTCAAAATAATGCAATTATTTATTTAATTATTTAAGATTCAATTATTTTCATAAATATATTAACATTCTTCGTAAGAATTCAATTATTTTCATAAACAATGACATTCTTCGTAAGAATTCAATTATTTACATAAATAACGACATTCATTGTTAGAATTCAATTATTTTTATAAATAGTAAAATTTTTTGCAAAAATTCAATTACTTTTAAACTTTAAGATTTTGATAAAATTTCACGAAACAATACAATTTCTAAAATTTTTATAAATCCTTTAAAGCAATATTCAATTATTTTTTTAAAAAGTAAAATCTTTGCAAAATTTCAATTACTTTTCAAGAGAAAATTTTACGACAAAATTCAATATTTTTTCTTAGTTCGTTATAAAATCTCTGCAAAAATTCAATTATTTTCAAAAAAAAAAAAAAAATTCACGAAGGTATTCAATTATTTTTAATTCGTTATAAAATATTTCAAAAGAATTCAATTATTTACTAAATTTTAATTAAATCCCTCGTAACAATTCAATTTTATTTATAAATAGTAAAATTCTTTTGTAAAAATTAAATTATTTTTAATACGATTTTAATAAAATTTCAAAATGAAAAATTTCATTTTTTTTTAAATTTTAATAATATTTTTCGAGAAAAAATTAAATTATTTTCTAAAATTTTAATAACATTTCATGAAAGAATTCAATTTTAACAAATTTTTAATAACATTTTTCGCGAAAAAATTCAATTATGTTTATAAACAGAAAATTCTTTATCAAAAATTCAATTATATTTATAAATAGAAAATTTTTATCAAAAATTCAAAACAATTTTATTCGTTATAAAATTTTTCAAAAGAATTTAATTACTTTCTAAAATTTTAATAAAAATAAATAATAAATGTATTGAAAATCATCGAATTGTTGCAAAGATGTTTTTAAAAAATTTGACAATAATAGAATTCTTACGAAGAATTTTTTTTATTTAGGAAAAATTGTTTCTTTAAAAATTTTTAAAATAATTTACTTTTATGAACAATTTTTTTCAAGTTTTTAAAATAATCGTGTTTGTTAATAGGTAATTGTTTTGAATATAATTAAATTTTTGGAAAGAATTTTATTATTTATAAGTATAATTGAATTGTTTTGAAGGATTTTTAAAATTTGAGAAAATAGAATGTTATTAAAATTATCTTAAAAATAATTGAATTTTTGCAAAAAATTTTTACCGTTTAAAAAAATTATTGAATTGTTTTGACGGATTTCATTAAAATTTTATTTAAAAATAATTGAATTTTTGCAAAAAATTTTTGCTATTTATAAAAAATAATTTAAATTGTTACGGAGAATGTTATTCTTTATGAAAATAATTGAATTCTTTTGAAGAATTTTATTAAAACTTTTGAAATTAATAAACAAGAATAATTAATTAGTAAATTACTTAATAATTGAATTTTTTTAAAGTTTGAATCTGAAATTTTTCAAAAATTCATATTTGAAAATGAAAATTTTTTGTAATTTGCTTAATAAGAATAAATTGAATATCACGTTCCGCGCTCAAGAGAGCGTAACATTTACTAGTTAATAAAGAAACTCCATTATTTAAAAAATATAGATTTTTAATAAAACTCTCGTTTATGTTTTCTAATGAAATGAAAAATTAAATACATTCTTTACAAATATTTGAAATTGAAGAGAAAAAACTTGTTTTCATGATAAATATGAGGAGAAATAATATTTAGTAAATATATAAACATTTACTGTCGAATATAAAAAGAAATATTCGACGTCAAATGTATAGAAAATGTAAAAAAAAAGTTTCGAATGGAAATTTTTCTAAATAGGTATTCTGTCTTTTTTTCTCTTCTTTTTTTTTATCGATTTGAAAAAATTCACCTTTTCACTGTGTTTGAATTCCCTCATCACGCGATCATAATCCCTTTTCGTGACACGTTCTGGATAGCAAACGGCACTCTTGATGAAGGTTTTCAAACTCCTCTCGAGTAGTTGATTTACTTCATTATAGTCATAGTCATCATGTCTAATTCCAAACATGCATTGGATATAATTCCAAATAGCACGTCGGAAACGCGATGTGTCTACTTTGTTGTGCGTGCCCATCGTATAATACGTGAGGTTATAGGCCGTCTTGAACTTATCATCGAGAAGATTGCCAACGTCATTGTAAAGCCTGTTGACCAACGAATAACCATGATCGTCCCAAGAATAATCTTGTACGCGAAATGTTGGTATGTCGTTGAGTTGTCCCCGCTGTAAAATTCGAACAAGAAAATACACAATTAGTAATTTAATTCGTAAAATCATATTAAAGATATAAATCTTTTTTTTCCTTCCATTTCATTAAGTATATTATTTATTCTTCTTCTTCCAATAATCGAAAAAATATATTATTTTACAGTAAAATCTTATTTTTGGAATTTATTTTTAGAATTAAAGATTTTGTATTTTATTGCAATATTTGGAAGAAAAGTCAAAAAAAGTCGCTTTTTCTGAAAATAAGTCGAAAAATAAGTCAAACTATCCGAGGTCTGAAATTAGGGTAGTTTGTTACTCCAAAAAAGGAAAAAAATCGTTCTTATGGAAACAACTTTTGTCTGAGTGAATTTTTTCTCAGCCTCATTTTAATGTTACGAAAAGAAACTAGTTCTTTTTAACTAATTGAACTTAGTACCTTGGCAAAGTCCTGATAAATAAATGTTGGATCCTCGATGAACAATCCAATGTCCGAGTCGAGAATTGAACTTCTCTGTGGAGCGGCGGCCAATTCGGCCGATTGCGTTTCCACTGTTTCGAATCGTTTTGACAATTCTTCTTGCGTGATTTGGTAAGATTCAGACTTTTCCGAAAGTCGCTTCATTCGTTCCATGAGAGTCTCCACACCGACTTCTTGCTCTCCTACTATACTGGGTGAAGAAGGCGGCGACGGGATGGATTCTATTAGAAAAGAAAAAAAATATTTATAACGGTACTTCTAATTTTTTTTCGCAAATTATAGAGAAATTGAAAATCTAATTCTACCAAAAAAAAAAAAAAATTCGAAAAAAAGTGGAAAATGATATAATAAGATATTTACCAGTCTTGCCACTGCCATTGAGAATTTTCTTGGGACTACTAGAAAGTTTGTCTTTGGCAGGTTGTATTTTAATGCTATTGTCTTGGACATTCTCCTTGTAATGATAACCCGCAACGTTGTCCAGTTCCTCGTTAATTCCACAGGAGAAGACAAAGGACGACAGCGAATGGAAGTGAGCCAAAAGAACTATCGCATGGACAACTTCGGCTAACGACCAATTATCGGCACCTTTCGTTAATTTCTGCAAATGAAAATTTATTTCCTCTATTCAGTCTTTTTTGTAAACCAAACTTTTTTTTAAAAACCAAAACAACATATTTTTAAAAGTATACAATAAAAGAAAAACAACAGTAAATTTTCCTTTGTCCAAAATATTAGTAATACAAATTACTTGAATTTTATGAAGAATTTCTTTCAAGTTTTCAAAATCGTATTTTCTAATCGTATTTTTTAATAATTGAAATTAAACATTTAATTATTGGATTTTATTGGAATTTTTACAAAATAATTAAATATTCCTCTCAGAATTTTAGTACTTTTTTAAAAATAATTTAATTGTTTAAACGAATTTTACTAAAATATTGAAAATAATTTAATTCATTTGAAGAATAGATACTTAAAATCATTTAAACAATTTTATTAGAGTTTTTCTAAATAATTAAATTCTTTTGAATCATTTCTTTAAGTTTTTTGAAAATAATGTAGTTTTTTTAAAATAATTTTAATTGAAAAGTTTGAAAATAATTAAATTAAACAAACAATGTTCTTCAACTTTTTAAAATAATTATGTCTGTTAATATAATTAAAAATTTTATTATTGAATTTTATTGAGATTGTATTGAAAATAATTGAATCCCTAAGAATTAAAAAATTTTTGAACATTATTGAATTTCTAAGAAAGAATTTTATTACTTTTGAAAAAAATTGAATTTCTGCAATAATTTGTAACTTCTCCAAAATCAAATTATTTTTAGAGTTTTTTTAACTGAAATTCTTCTATAAATCCATTATTTTAAATAATTTTTGAAAAAGTTCTTTGAGAATTTTCAAATTCATTTGTTTTATAATTCAATTTTACAAAATTTCAATTATTCGACAATTATTCAATTAAATATATAATACAAAATAACAACTTCAAAAAAATTCAATTAACCCCTTTGGAAAAAAATTAATTTCACAAAATTGTTAATTAAAATTTTCATTTTCAAAGATTTTAAAACGAAAGCTTTTCAGAATTCAATTATTTTTAAAAATTCATGCTATAATGATTTTAATATTTAATTATTATCTATAAAATTTTAACTGAAATTCATTTTTAAATCAATTTTTATTAGATAATTCAACTAGAATTCAATTATTTAAATACAAAAATTAATAACTCATTGAATAATTGAATGTTTTATTAAATTGAATTCTCATAAAGAATTTTATCAACAAATTTGAAAATAACTCAATTCTTTTAACAAATTGTAATAAAATTTTTACGAATAATTACATTTTTCGAGAAATTTTATTAAAATTGTATTAAAAATAATAATTGAAATTCTGCAATGAGTTTTATTATTTATGAAAATAATGAAATTATTGGGAAGAAATTTATAAAAAATTTGTAAATAATTGAATTCCTTGTGAACTTTTAATTATTTTATAAATATATTAAAATGTTTGCGCACAATTCCATTTAAATTTTTTTAAATAATTGAATTCTTTTGGGAAATTTAATCCTAGCTAAGAATTTTATAAAAATCATTTTAAATAATTGATTTTTATTCGAAAAATTTTATGAAAATTGTGTTTGCAAATAATTGAATACCTGCGAAAATTTTATTACTTATGAAAATAATGGAATTCATAAAAAGAATTTTATTATTTACCAAAATAATTGAATCTTTGTAAAAATTTTATATTATTTAAGAAAATAATTGAATTATTGCGAAAAAATTTATAAAAAATGTGCAAATCATTGAATTCTTGAAAAGAATCTTATCAAAAAATTTAATAATAATTGAATTTCTTCGAAGAATTTTATTATTTATAAAAAAAAGTTGTATTCTCGCGAAGAATTTTGTTAAAATTTTTCATAATCTTAATTAAGTTCTTTTGAAGAATTTCTTTGAATTCCTTTAAAATAATGGAATTATTATAATAATTTTAATTGAAAGTTTTCAAAGTAATTGAATTTTATATGAACAATTTCTTTCAAGTTTTTACAATAATCGTCCTTCTTAATAATTGAAATTAAACATTCAATTCTTGAATTTTATTAAAATTTTTAGAAAATAATTGAATTCTTTTGTTCGAGCCCTGAAAATACTAAAAGTTCCCAAATTTCAGTCCACACGGTCAAAATGTCTTCCGTGAGAATAGAAGAGAATTGAGAATAGAAAATGTATTTTAAGAAAGAAAATTTTTTTTTCTAAATAAATTTAATAAAATTGTTTTTCTTTTTTAATTCTTCAGAAAAATATTTAATTCCATATTTATTAATTTATTAATAAATTTATTAATAAATTTATTAATAAATAAAACAGATCTCTAGGAGAGATATAAGAATATTTTTCGCCAAAAGAAAATGCAGTTTAGCAAAATGACGAAATCGTATATGAGTTGAAAATAAATTTACAGTAAACATGAAGAGAAAAAAAAACAGGACTGTAAATTATAACGTGAGGGCATATAAATCAAAAAAAGTGTTACGTGAAAACTCACTTCTATGTGTGTTTTATTGAGGAGCCAAGGCCTGTGTGCAAGAATTTTGTTGATCTCGTACAAATCCTGCAGCTTCCCTGGTATCGATCTTAAGCCCTGAAGCCACGATGGATCGCCACCTTGATGCAAAAATTCTGACTTTTGAAGATTAATGAGGTAGCTGCACTGATGCCTTCCAGCAGCCTGCAAAATATTTTTCTTTCAGCATTTTTATTTTTCAAACTTCGTTTCACTTTTTAAAACTTTTTACACAGTTTTTAAAAATCGAATATATTGAATATATTCAAACCGCGAAGAAAATTTTTCATTAAAATGAATTTTAACTCAGAAAAAGTTAAAAAAGTTAATAAATAAATAAATAAATTAAAGTTAACAAAAACAAGTAAATAAGAGAAAAGTTATTAAAAAAATAGTAGATTTAGTCAAAATAATCTAAAAAGAAGTTTTAATTTTAGTTTTCAAATAAATATATTTTTATTTCTTTGAAAAAAAAAATTGAAAGAATAATTAAACAAAACAATAAAAAAAAGTTATTGTAAGAGAAGTTTATAAAAAAAATTGTTAATTTATAGATTTAAACTAAATAATGTAAAATAATAAAAGGAATAAATAAATAATGACTAAATAACGTTAAAAAAAGTTTTAATTAAAAAGTTTTCAAATAAATAAAAAAGAATTGAAATTACATTCAAAAAGATTAAAAAATAAAACTTTTTGAATTCGACTGTGTTTTTTGGTTCAAAGTATGTTTAACCAAAAAAAAAAATTCTCCATTTAGTAGACAAAAACTAATGGAAACTAAACTACTAATTGAAAAAGAAAAAAATTTCCACAGATATAGACCAACTTCTCAAGAAATTGTTTTGAATTACATTTGAATAAATCAGTGTATAAATAGAATCAACTTTTGAAATAAAACTGTTTGTTCTAAAAGACCTGTTTTTACATTTTTTTTTTCAAGTGATTATCTTATCATTTATCGTGTTTCGGTGTTTGCTCTCGCAAAATTTAATAGACGATAAATTTTTTCAATTAAAAAAAAAACCTGACGAGTATTCCCTCACTGTGGGTGGAAACCAAAAAAAACAAAAAATTATTTTACACAGTTTTTTAAAATGGTGTTTAAAATTTTTTAAAATAATAGCAAAAATGTTAAAAATTATATTTCCTTTCACAAATTCAAAATAAATTATTTTCTCCTCTCACTTTAAAAAAAAGATAATCAAATAAAACTTTTACGAACAACTCAACATATTTTTTTTTTACCTTGAAAGTTTATAAAAAGCACAAAATTTAACGATAACTTGAAGTTCTTCATTTCTCATATAATTTATTTTAGATTAAATCTCTTTAGTAAAGTAATAATATACTTAAATTTATGAAGAAATTTTTTTGAATAAATTAGATTGGATTAATTTTATCAATTATTATTATTATTATTATTATTATTATTATTATTCTCCATTAGAGAATATATTTCTCTATTTTAGAATATTGACGAGAAAGTTATATAAAAAGAGATTTTAAATTATATTAATTCCTTTTTTCATCTCATCAAAATTATTTTAGAATATTATCGGAAACTAAATATTAATTTGACATCGATATAAATTTTATCAATTTTATTCAATTCGAAACAAATAAATTTACATATTTTTACAAATGCAAAATTTTTTAATTTACTGAAAAAAATTCAAATATTTTTTGAAAATAATTAAAATTGTTAAAGAATTTAACTAAAATCTGTTTAACAAATCGAATTTGCAAAGTATTTTAATTTAATAATTGAATTTTATATCAATTATTATTAATAATAATATTAATATTAATAATAATAATTGATTTATTATGAATTTTATAAAAAGTCACATTCTAATGTATTTATGTTTCTTAGTGCGAAGATTAATAATTAAAACTTTTATTAGTTAATTTAAAAAAAAAATAAACACCTTAACATTTTTTAATAAAATTGTATTTTCGCAAAGTTTTTTTCTAAAATTCTGAAAAATAGGATTTTTGAAATTTTTCAATTCTATTGTTTCAAATTAATTGAATTTTTATAAAAAAATAATAAAAAATATTTGAAATTTCTTTACATTCTATTAAAAATAATTTAATTATTTTAAAGAATTTTATTTAAATTTTTTGATAATAATCAAGGGAAGTTAGTCACCATAATTATAATTTTATTTTTAAAAATTTCTTAGCAATATATATTCAATTATTTTCATAAATATTAAATAGTGAAATTCATTGGAGAATTTCAATTATTTTTAATACAATTTTAATCAAATTCCTCGAAAAAAGTAATTATTTTAAAAAAATTTATTAAAATTCGTCTAAAGAATTCAATTATTTCTAGAAAATGCTAAAAAAATTCTTCTTAAGAATTCAATTTTTTCCATAAATAGTAAAATTCTTCAGATTTACTAAATGTTTTTGAATATTATTTTTAAAAAAAATTACTTGGTAGCAATTTTTAATTTTTCTATTTATTTTTTTTTATTATTTTTTTTTTGTGAAAAATTACTGACCATGATAGCGATGAGATGTCGATAGTCGTAGGGAAGAGGACCGTCTCCACGAAGAATGAAATTTTGTGTCTTCAAAAAATGCTCCAAATAGGATGGATGTGAAGACATAACTCTCGAGACATGATCCAGCCTGTTGTTTTGTAAGAAAGCATCAATAAACAGCATATACGACTGCAAAAGAAAAAATGTCCAAATTAATTACTACACACTCGACATTACTTTTTTAACATTAAAAAAAAAAAGAATATAAATTTAATTTTAATGAAAAAGTTTCACCCGTCTGTAATTGTACATTTAACGTTTGCAACATGCTAATTAGGCTACGTGTAAACAACATTCGCATGTATATACATATATATAATGAATATATGTTAATTTAACTTTCAAATGTAATAATCATGTGAATCAGCAACCGGCTTTATTTATGACTTATTCCTTTTTGCAAAAACTTATATTCAACAGAAAACAATTATTAGAATCTATGTATACAAGCCTCTCTTTTCTGCATTATTAAAAATAAATTATCTCTCATGAATTATTTTTTTTCTTCATTCATATCTTATTATAAGAAAATATCGAGAAATTATTTATTCATTTATATATTATTTCCTGATTATTGACATTTATTTCACTTTTCTTTCTCTTTTTTGCAATTTCTATAAAATAGTGTCGAAATTTTGCCGATTTTTGTGAAACAATTCTTGATTTTTTATTTATTTATACACGTTTTATATTAAACTTATATTTGCAAAACTAAAATCAGATATCAAATTAATATTACATTTTATTAATTTATTTATTCATTAGATTTACCGCGATATAAATAAATAAATATTTATTTAATATATTTAATTATTTTTAATTTCTTTTTGTTATTTACATACAAAATTAGAAAAGAAAAATTAGATAAAAATTATGAAAATGAACCAGAAAATAAAAAAATTATCACATTTATTAAAAAATGTAATTGTACCTATACTTGAATAATTCGTTTAATTAATTTAACTAATTTCATTAATTTTGTTAATTTTAATGATTTTCAATTATTTGATGATTTATCGAAACTAATTATATCAATATATACCAGAAATTAGCATTTATGATAAAAATCGATTTTAAATTATAATATTTAATTACAATTTCATATGATGCACTTTCTTATGAATTAATTTAAATATTAAACGTGCTTTTTTTTACTAAAATTGTCTTTAAATTGATATAAATTATTTATAATTATTAATAAACTAGTAAAAAAAAGTATGTATATAAAAATTATGAAAAATTTATATGAAGGTACCAGGTTACATAAATTTACTATTATAATTATTGCAGATAAAATTATACCGGTAACAATTATGGTATCGAAAAAAGAAAAAAATAACACAAAAGTCCTGTATACAATATGTTTTTATCTAAACATACGGAAAAAAATATAAAGTAACTTTACTAATTACAAAGTAAAATCTAAACTCCCTGATAATTTTTTTTTTCTTTTTTGCTATTTTCACAGTTAATTTTATAAATTTTATAAATTTTATAATTTTTATTTTTATTTACTTTTTATTTAATTTTATTCTTTTAATTTATATTAATTTTTAAAAATTTATCTAAAGAAATAATTGTGAATAAAATTGTTAAAAAAAATAAAGACAGTGAAGTATAGCAAAAATTACTCTTTTTTCATAAGAAAAGTAATAAATAAATTTTTAAAAAAAGAATTTTTGGCCAAATTTTCAATCTTTAGAAATTGGTCGTGGTATTTATTTTCCGTTAATTTCCATTTTATTGCTGATAAATTTTGTGTCTGGAAGAAACTTTTTATTGCTTGTGATAAGAAGAATTTTTAAGATATAGACTTATTGACAATTATGATAAATTCTTGAGTATAAAAAAAAATGGAAAAAGAATACGAGAAGAAAAAAAATTGTAAATTTGTTACAGAGACAACACTAGACGACTGATTTGTTAAATTATCAATCAATCGATCACTTCGTAATCTTTATACACAATCTCAAGAGACTTCATTTTAATCCTCTTACCGAAAAACTCTTCCCTCGAAATAACAAAGTTCACATACATTTTACTCATCGAAAAAAATAAACTTTCACTCTGCACTTTTTTTTTAATAAAAATAATTACAATTAACTTTCAATTTAAATGCGTGAAATTTTTGTAATTAAAATTATAAAGAAAAAAAGGAAATCTGATTAAAATTAGTATCCTAATGAAGAAAGAAGGGTAAAAATTTTAGGTTATGTTTGTTATTTTTGGAATGAAAATATACAAAGGGGATTAATTCTGAATATAATTTACTGAACTTTAAGTCTTCGTTACATTTAAAATTATTAATAGATACTAATTTTAGTTTTAAATTAAGTATACAGAAACTTTTAATTAAGGTAAAAATAATACAAACATAACCTTGAAATGAATTTCTAGATTTGTTTCCTAGGAGCGGGTCACAGACATAAATTAATAAAAATTAAATCAATATTCAATTTTTTTTTATATTCTCCTTTTTAAAAATTCAAAAAAACAAAACGGTTATTATAAGTCAAATTTGAAATTAATAACTATAAATTAATTATTATTTTAATATATTATTATATTATTATTAATTTCACGTTAATAATTTATAATAATTATTATTATATTTCGAATATTATTTATTATTATTTAATTATAATTATTTAATTAAATAATAATATTAATAATTATTTCTAATTTCGAATTAAAATAAAATAATTTCTTTTGGAAATAATTATTTTTGTTTTAGTTTTATTTTTTGTAAATTAATTATTGTTGCGAAACTCAGTTATTTATATATGTGTGCAGACTAATTTTTGTTCAGCATGTAAGAAAGAAGCGGTAATTGTGTCATTAAGGTCAACAACTTGAAGAGAATTGAAAAGCTTCAATGTATATGTTGTTCCACTCGCTTGATTTCTTGAGGCAAGAACTGGCTTTGCTTATTTTTTTTTTTTTTTTTTTTTAATTTTGTCCCTTCTCTTTGCATTCGACGCTGATGAGAATAAAAATATAATAAAGCTCTATTAAAATTTATGTGGCTGTTTATGCGACTCGGTTGGTACATTCAATCGTGGCAACTGCCTTGTCGATTCATTGCCTTAATAAAGCCACTTGTTTTCGTCCGAGTTTTGCTTTTGCCGTTGATTATACCCGCTTCATGTCCGCCCACATGGCACTATATATTGTGCTATTATTATCAGCGCGAATCTTGTTTACCGAATCTATCTGGATAGATGAATTTTAGTTCAATTTTTTTTTCTTGCATACCCCATTTTTCATGTTTCTTTTTATTAATATTGAGAATTATTCTTGAGAAACTATTTTCGTTATTTTATTAACTTTCAAATTTTTCGTTCAATTTTTTTTTTTACTTTAAATTCCTTTTCTACTTGAGAGAAACAAATTCAAAATGGCCGATTCAATATGGCGGATGATTTTTAAAAAATATTTCGCTTGTTTTGTCGACCTTAATCTACGAAGGGAATAAGAATATATAATCACGAAAATATAAGAAAAATATTTTTACACCCTGGTACTAGAAATAATTTAAAATTATTATTATTATTCAAAATGGCGGATCCAATATGGCGAAATTTTTTTAAAAATCTGCATGTTGGTTTAAAAATTCTCCATTTCAGTGAAGAAATTTTGTTTTATTTTTAACATTAGATATTAATTTAACGAAAACTATTTTTTTATAGCACGTAACACGTGGATTTTATATAATTACATCTCTGTTAATTATAGAATCACTATACGAAAAAAAGAAACAGAATATTATCAAATATCATTAGGTATATATATGTAGAAAAAAAACTGAAAAGTAATACTTTTAAGTCTTAATTATGTCATTTTTCATACTTGATAACAATAATAATATTAGTTCTATCAGATTTCAGTTTTACTTCCGGAATGTAATATATGAAATATAATCTTACGAAATATTACATAGTCTTAAATGAATGTCTTAATCTCCCATTTTCTTAACATGTTTACAATTTATGTATTTTTTGGAGCATTAAAATTTTATTTAAAATTACTTCTAAGTTTTTTTCTATTTTCGTCTCTTTTTCTTCTTTTTCCATTTTTTATGATTTTACCAGTTTAAATTTTACATGGAACAAATTTATTTCCCCAACATTTGAAAGTAAAAGAAATTTGTAAAAAATGAAGAAAAAAATTTTTAATTTCGTTGAATCAAGTTTAAATAACATTAAAGAAAAGTAGTGCCAGAATTATAATTTCCTATCACGCGACATTTTCACGTCAGAGAGAAATATATAGAAAAACAAGCAAAAGGTAATCAACATTAGAAAAAAATTCTCGATGAATTTTGCTCTTTACATTGAATACTGATTAGTACAAAACTAATATCAAAGAAAATTTAATAAAAATAAGGAATTTAAAAATGCCTTTTCTGAATTATTTTTTTGTTTGTTATTTTCTGACATGTTTTCGCTGTGGAATTGTGTTTTTTTTAATGAAATATCTTATTCAGCTTGATTCATTCATGTTTGCATAAATAGATTTCGTTATTTTATTTCGTAGAATTATAGACAAACAAAAGTGGTTAATTATTATTCAGTTTTAATTTTTTAGTAGTTTTATTACTTTTTCAATTATTATTATTATTTTTTCTTTTTTTTTGTAAAGTACTTTAATCATTTGAATTTCCAGGGAGTAGTTAGGGGACATTAAATGACATGAAAGGCGACTGTTCATTTAAGTTAATGAATTTGCGAGAGATGACAAGCGCCAACTTTCCGTGTGTTACAATTACAAAAAGGGCAATCAAAGAAAAAGCAAAACGAGATCAAACCACCGAACAAGACGGCTAACTGAAACCCGAGACCGGTTCATTATACAATCTACGAAACCTTGTACTACATATTCATTCTGTATCACCTACATCAATAATTTGTCAAGAATCATGTAAGATTTTTATTTATGAATACATAATTGATTATGTAAAATAAAATGAATCTCAAAAGTAATCATTTTCAAGAGAAATAGAAGAAAATGGGAAAAATATATATTATACTTTAATTAATCATCATCCAAGAGACTGCGTAACGAGAAAAAACTTTTTCAGTCTTTTAACTTTTAAATATACTTAAAAATTTTTTCACCATTTTTTTTTT